ATAAAAGTTAATTATATCAGAACGTAGCTTAACAACTTTCTGGAAAAGAGGTTTCCAATCTAAATTAAGAAATAGCACATCTAACAAAATAACAGTGCGAAGGTGTTCTTACAGTTTTTTGGAAAAATATAGAAAATTTGGAGTTAGGAATTTTAAAAACAACTTAAAATATATCTTAGTCAGCTTGAAATATTCCATAAATTTTAGCACAGTTCCGAATAAAATATATACAATTTAATTTGTATAAAATATTTCTAAAGAACCTTAGAAAATGGAAGTACTTCACATTAACATTTTCTCTAAATAAATCAGCACTTTATTTTAAGACCTACTACGATTAATCTCATTTACGAAAACATATATTTAAATAGAAAGAGGTCAGTTCGCCCCTCGTAAATTAAAGTCAACTTAGTGGTGATAACCATGATGGTTAGAACTTCAGCCCACTTAATCCCCCCAATGGAAACTTTAAACTGTTGACAGAGTGTTTGTTTAGGGCAAAAAACACGTCTTTGGCTTTGCCGCCTCTTTGCGGGGCCGAAAGTAAATATTATGTTTGGACAGAGTGAAAGAGGGCGGTAGAACAAAGAGAAGTCCTGAAACGTAGTGGCATCTGATAGTGACGCATCCTCCAATGGGCAGCCTCTCCAGCACTTGACCCACCCCCCTCAGGGTCATGTGTGTTTGGCAGTTGTTGTTGTAAGAATCCCGGACAGCAGAAATATAAATTTAATCAAGTGGCCATCGTTTATTTCCCTTTTGATTTCGACAAATTCAATTGACATTCGATTTTATTATCTCCACAGCCCAGAGATCCCAGATCCAATACCGCACAATTACTACACGCTTTGTAAATGCATTTCATAAATTTATGATGCCAGCAGATGACCATTTCCTCGAGGGAATCCCGTTTGCCTTTTGCCATTTGTAATAAATACGATTCGTTGTTGTATTGGAAATATTTCATATACTCGTATCATCGTTTTTTCACATAGCAGGGATATCTCATTTTATATCCCATTTGGCCATTTCAAGCGGGAATTTCTGTGGCATTTTTGGTTTATTGTTGCTCGTTCCTGGCCCTTTGTAAGGACCAGGAGTTAACTGCCGTCCTGGCCATGGAACATAGATTTTAATTAAGTCCACTTTCCCCCAATTTAATATTTACAGAGATGGTGTTAAGCATGGAAACTTTGCTCTATGTTGGGAGTACTCCCCCTGAAAGTCAAGGGGCTTGGGACCCGCCTTCCTCAAAAATTAAAGTTCAAGTGGCAAGTAGCGCAAAGTTTTTCCTTTCCGCTGGGGAAAGTTCCTTGGCGTTTAAAGAAAGTAACAAGCAACATCTTGAGGTTGAAATGAAAAGTGTTTTCCCAACCTAAGAGAGAAACCTGCAGTGGGTCAAAGAGAGAGATTATTATGCATTCTCTTTGACTGAAAAACTTTCGGAGTCAGTCCGAAAACGAAATATTTTGATATTCAGGCCCACAAGTGGTTGCCTTTTAAAAATAACAGAGAGTTGGAAAATATTTCAGCAGAAATGAGAGAAGTTGGAGTAAATGCATCTGGCAAATTCCAGGATTCTAAATAAAACTCTGCAGAAAGTCAAAGCAAAAATTAAATTAACTTTTTCTTGGAAAACTTAAGATAAATTATGAATTACCAAGAATTTGTTGCCAATTTATTTGGCATTTCTATAATCAGTTTTAGATGAAAGGAAAATTAAAGGTAAACCAAAAGGTAGGGTTAACCTCTCTGAACACAAGGATACGCGGTTGACAAACCAACACACATGAGACCTTTGCCTTAAGGCCTGCACTGGAAAAAACCTATTTTAGTCTCTGATTCTTCGAAAGTCTAAAAAGAATCTAAATAATTATTATCCATTTTATAATTTAATTTAAATCCCCTCAAATATCATTCATAATCTACCAAATAGTCGATGGTATTTTCGCTCTCTGGAGGACCTGTGTGCCCACACAGCCACCGTAGACACCGCAAACGTCTACAAAGCAACTACAACAATGGGCAGCTTGACAGACAGAAAAGGAAAGCTGTGTAAGAAGGGGTGTATTGGGGGGGAGACAGCGTTGAGGGGTTGAGCGAATCCGCTTTTGTTTATCTACTTTAAACTAACATCAGGCACTTTTGCTATCTAATCCTGACCAACCCGACAGCTACTTAATGTCATCAGTGTGCCACTCGCTGGCATTTTCAACAAGGACATTTGGAAGTGCACAACGATACGGGAGGAGCGGTAAGGATATCATGGAGGGCAGAACAGAGGTCGACGACGCTAAACGTTTCCCATAGAGCTCAGATTCACCGAGTGCAAATTGAATAATCGTTTGCGCTTCGCCGCATCCACAAAAAGGACCTTTTAAAAGTTCCCTTTTGTCCCTCTGTCTGTGTGTGTGACAAATATCGATCATCAAGGACGGCTGATGGACGACTTGGACACACAATTGTTTGGGTTTATTCTAATGCTCTGAAAAACTTCTGACCGAGTTGTCGTCTGAAGAGATGTCCTTTGCCAGTTTCCTTTTGCATAAAGAAAAACTTTTGTCGTCCCTATTTTGTCAAGTTTGTCATTTGTTGGACATTTATAAGCAAATCCAGTTTCGGGTGCGGGTTCAGGCGTGAGTTTATTGGGAGTGCAAAACGGACCTGCTCCTGCTCCATGGACTGCGGGTCTCGTTAGCATACATTGAAAGCGGGTTTTGGTTTTTGTTACCGAACTCTCGACTAAATGAAATTGAATGCCCATCCCAAGGAGTTCAACTCAACTGTGAGAGCTTTAAAAAGTATTTGTGCAAGTTCAGAAGTAGCAGGAGAATGTTTAATTCATTTGGGAAGTGCTCAAGCGTGATTTGAACTCCCATTTAAGGAGGGTCAGAATTATGGAATAAATATGTTAAATGGTTCTTTGTCGTTTAGACTGTGTTCTATTTAGTTTATGATTATGAAATAGATATAGTTTATCTCAGAGTTAAACGCGGAATAGCTTTTAATGGTTTGATTTTGAATAAAGTTAATCAGGTTTCATATTCCACCAAAGAGATGTACTTAAAGTTATCTTGAACAGCGAGCTTGAAGCTCAACTCCTCTTTTTATTTGCACCGCGGATAGCACATAGCTCCAGCGCTTAGAACTTTGATCCCCTGCTTAAACTCAGAGCACTTTTCACTTAGCGGAAACTTTAGGCCAACAATAAACCAAATACCAATGCCTCTGTGTGTGTGCACTGAGCTCTTCGAATTTGTCTAAGATCAATTCCCCGGGAACTCGAGGATTCTTGGGCGAGAGTTGGCAAAGGCAAACACCAGCCAAGACTTAACTTTCGCCGGATGCCATTGAGACTTCACGGAGCCTTGGACGCTGCTGGCCTTTTTCTGCCCAAGAACTTGAATTCAGGTGAAATAGTCGCACGAGGCACACCTGGGCATTGGGCTCTAGCAATGCCATTGAGCTATTGGGCAACAAAGACACAAATATGTGCATAGCATTTAACGAGTGGCCATCGCTTCTGGTCGGACATTTCGGTGCACGTGTGGATAAAATTCAATTTCGAGCCATTGACAAACAAACGTGATGAATTCCTGGTCTGAGGATATAACATGGAATTAATGTTAGCCTGTCGAAGGTCATTCCTCGTTTAAACCATCCATTGAGAACTTCAAAGCTTTTGTGAATTTTATGTGGCCATAAATCGCCAGCTAGCATAGCCGTGTCTCTCTATATCCCAATCCTTCTGCTTGTCCTGTAAGCTGGCAGAAATTTATGGCCAAAAGATAGATTCTCTCTGCTGGCTATTCGCACATTCATTCACTTCGGCCATTGCCCATAAAAGAAGAAACACTGTCGATTGTTTTCCAATTTGTGTAATTTGTTGTTTATTTTTGTTTATAACTACATTAATAAATTATGTATCGTATCGTATAATTCATAATCATACTCTTTGAAAGCGTGACAACATACTGGAATTGCTATTCGGCAGCTGGGTTCCTGATTCTGGGCATATTTTAAATTAAAAGTGGTCATCTGATACCTGGGACACTCCACTTTACATACCAAGTTTAGTAGCTTCGTTCGGAAGTCTGGGCTTTTTTTCAAAGAGTAAGTATGCGTAAGTATTTTCGAAACATCGGCCAGCCGAAGATTGTTGAATTTGCATTTAATGTTATGATTAACTTTTGATGACAACATCGAAGACCGATTGCGGGTTACTACTAAGAACCGTCTCATTCTTTATTTCTCCTTCAACTGGACACATTTAGTTTTAATTTTAGATTGATATCTGCTTGCTAGCTGGCTAGGCTGTCTATGCTGTCTAGTTACAATAATGTCTGCTTCGAGTTACAATAATATTCCATACCTAATTGTTTAATTTCTTAGTTCGCGCAGCGTAAATCGTGTTTGCAATATAGCTTTCTCAGATTGGCCGGGGGATTGGTATTGGTTAGTATCTGTGTTTTGTGGTTTTCAGTTAGCTTGTTTGGTGCTTGTGTGTGGTTTTGTGGTGCTTGGTGTGGTGCGGAGAACCGAATTAATAAGGCCACTTATCCATATATATGTCTGTAGGTATGTATCGCTGTGTACGTACGCGTATATAGTCAATTGTCAGTTACGCACACATCCCCATGCCATCCGATTCCCAAGGACTTTTGGGCCCTCCACTTCGCATTTCTGATAATCCCTCGCCTTAGCTTCACTCACCGTAAACATGTTTCTGGTCAAATCGTAGTATCTATTGAAAAAATCCCTTTTTACTTTCTAACCTTAACTAAAGTGGCCTCTAGGTATTTATTCTTGTGTTAAGAGTGGTTGAGAAAATTCCATAAATTTTGTGTGTGTGGCTCTAGTATTGATAAATGTGCCAAATTTAGTGTGTGTGTGTGTGTTTGGTGAGTGTATCTTGAATATTTATCTATCCGTTTAAGCTGCAATTATTTTGCGCTTGCTCTAGTATTTAATGTTGAACAATACTTTTTATTAGTGGCGGCTACTTTTTAATCATACTTTTATTTGCTTATTAGTTCCGATTATGGGATAAGGATTTCTTTCACTTGTGGTTGTTGCTGGTAGTGCATTCGCTTTTCTATTTCAGGTTACGCTTTTTAATGGTTACTAATGCCATTTTCAAATTGTTCATGTCGATCACTAAGCCGAGGATAAACTAATTAACTACGTTCTCATTATTGTTATGTTCAGCTCAAGTTTCTGCATCCATGTACATTTTACATATGCTAATAAAAATCCCGATGCGGTCTCTCACAAGTGAAATCACCGATCAATGGATCTACTCCAGTTCATTTAACTATGTACGCTATAAATGTATATTTGCCGATTCGCCTCTTGGCTAAATGTACAGTAACAGATATATGCCTATATATAGGTTTGTATGCGGCATTCCCTATCGCTTTACTCTCTCACTTTCTTTTGCGTCTCTTCAATTAAACTGAATAATAAGATCGAACACTATCGATCGACCCTATGTACAGGATTCGTGGGGACGAGTTCGTGTAGACGGTAATACATTTTTATAATTTCATAAGTAGCAACAAAAATAGTCTAATTGTCGATGTAAAACACAGGAAATAAATTAAGCGCTGGCTTGTGTAAAACTAAATCGAATGGTTATTCATTAACATTAAACGTAACTCGTGAGTTAGCAGGAGCACGGAGATTAGCGACTGCTGGTCTGGACACAACTTTTTGCTTGGCTGGCTGGCTGCTGATTCGGATGCTTTAGTGGTTGCTGAAGTAAAAATTGTTGTTGCGTATATTGCCACGGGTTCGCCAGCGGATGCAGCTGAGCAGGGCCACGCGGGCTGCACGCAGCAGGATCTGGCCGTAGGCACAGCAGGCGCAAATGCGCCTCACCCGTTCGGCCAGGTTGCGACGACGACAGCGACGGGCGGGACGATGCCAGCGGGGCAGGTCCTGCCGGCGACGCCGTCACTTACGGCGCTGGAAGACTCGCCGCAACGCCTTTCGCCAAAAAAACCGCTGCGACTTGGTCTTGGCATGTGTTTGCGGCTCTTCCATTTGAGCAAGGGCCGCATCAAATTCTTCTACTAAGTCTGGATCCTCTTCGGGAGCGATGCTTCGACGTGTTGGTGTGGCTGGTGCTGTGCGGGCTGTGCTCGTTGAATTGGATGCATGGGGCTGTGGAGTGGGTGGTGCTGAGGCTGTGGTTACGAATGGTGCAACCAAATAAGGACGGGCTTTCAGTGCCGCCATTGCTGCTGCCGATGTGGAAGCGATTGACGAGATGGAAGCCAAAGTAGCCACCGATGCCGAAGATTCCATATAGCCCCCACCAACTCTTCCCTCTAACGTTGCCGCCGGGGACCCTGCTCTTAGTGCTTTTACTCTTGCTCCTGCTCCTGATCGTGCCCCCGCTCTATCTGCTGTTGCTGGCTGGGTGGCACGCATCCAACAACCAGGCTGCATCGTATCTTATCTAAGCCACGGGTGCTGCAAACACTCCGCGGCGGTGGCTCGCTTAGCCGGATCAAACTCCAGCATTGGCTTAAGGAACGAAGCGAATGATTCCGCTTCGCTTTGCGACCACTCGTACTTCTCTAGCAGAACGTCCATAAGGCCCCAGGGTTTGAGGCCATTGATGTTTCGGAGTTCGCCGTTCCGGTTGAACGACTGCTGGGCATAGGTGCCACGGAACACAATGTGGCGGGGTATGGGACCAAGCAGCTCGATGATGTGGGCCAGATGGTCCTCGTCGCGGGAATAGGTATCGCCTGAGTGCGGTTCAAAAAGATAGTCGCCAGTGGCCAGCTCAAACACCATGCACGCAGTGCTCCAAATGTCTGCCGATGTGTCATAGCCGGAACCGAGAATCACTTCTAGTGAGCGATACTGGCGCGTCTGAATGTCCTCTGAGAAGTGACGATCCACCCAGCACGCATTTCCCAAATCGGCGATCTTAACATAAACACTGCATTCCTCCAGCGCCGGGTCACGTTTGGCCCTGGGCTTTGCTTGCGGTGGCGGAGGAGGCGGTGGCAGCATGGGCTCGGAATACGGTCCATTGGTGGCCGACGATGAGTTCTCCGCGGATCCACTTGAGATTTTCGAATTGCTGTTCGAGTTGGGCTTAGAGCTAGAGTTATTGTTGTTCAGCTGCTGATTCGATGACTGCCCCTGGTTCTGCTGCTTTTTCAATTCTTTCTCCTGTTTCGGCCGCAACGGCATTTTCTTGCCGTTTGATTGTCCTTTTAAAGTTCCGCTCGAGTTGCTGTTACTAATGCTACTACTTCCATTAGTCTGGTGACTCTTTAGGGCGCTGCTACTCTCGCCGCTGCTCGTCGAGTTCTCCAGTTGTGGAGGCTCCTGCCCTTGCGACTGGTTAGATTTGTCTGAATAAACAATGGTATAAAAAACGAGTTTTTGTTAAAAACAGATGGATTTAGGGAAATTAGAAAATAATACAAGCACAATAAATTATTTCAAGTACAGTTGGCTTTCGAACAAAGTTAATATTTATTTCACTTACTTTTGTTCTTCTTTTTCCTCTTCTTTTTGGCTTTGTCAGCGTCCCCAGCCGTAGGTTCCTGTTGTTGTGCCGCTGCTGGACGCACCTTTCGATCTTGTCGCTGCCCAGCAGCCATTTCTTCGTCGACGTCGACATTGAGTTCCGGCTCTTCTTTCACGTCAAAGAATTCTTCCTCATCGGAGATGCCAGCATCGCCGTTCCGCATCTCATTACGATTATTTACGCCAATGTCCGCCTGACCGTCGGCCTGTTCCAAGTAGTCTTGCTGCTTCTTAAACAGTTCCATGCGCTTCTTAGCTTTCCTTTTGAGCTTCTTCTTTCGGTTCTTGCTCATTTTTCCATTGATGGGTGGCTCGCGATACTCCTTGGGCGCTCGACTTACCAATGAGGGATACATCTTGGAGTTCATGCAGTACAGCTGGGTCGCTTCGGTAGCCAGAGAACGGACATGCAGCTCGTCCACACACAAGAGTACATTCTCGGGTTTAATGTCCGTGTGAATAATATTGCAGCAGGTGTGGAGGTAGTCGAGTCCTTCCAGTATTTGGCGGGTGATGGACTTTACGTTGCCAAGCGGGATGCCACAATAGTTTGACTTGCGGATAAGCTTCAGTAGATTATCTCCGAGCACCTCGAACACCATACAGATATGAGTGCCATTAACGCCAGTGATCTTGAAATCGTCCAGCATCTGGACGGTCTTCTGACGGCGTGGATTTGACGGATCCTTATCGCGCACCTTCCTGAGTATCTTAATCTCATCCTTGGCCGTCTCGGCAAAGTGCGGCGCTGACTTGACAATCTTTATTGCCACATAGCCCTTCTCCTGCAGATCCCAGCATAGCCAGACGGTTGAGAAATGGCCCCAGCCCAATTTTCGGATGACGTGGTACCGACCTGCAGAACAAAAATTGCATTAATCTCGTGCAGTTCTCGTCAAGGGACAAAGTTCAAGGGTTTGGGGGTAGAGCAACTCAGAACCACTTAGGAAAATGAAATCACAAATGTTCGCCTCGGATGGTAATAAATCCATTTTAATCGCATCACTGTCACATCACGACTGACCCAGCGACTAGCCAACCACTACTCTCCGCTTAAATTCAATTAAAATCTGACAGCGAATGCAGTTCGGTGCTGTTTTTGTGGGGGCTTACTTCGAATGAAGAGCCTAAAGGGGACGAAATCGGAATGGAGCGCCAGACCTTTCTTAACTGAGTTTAAAATTTGGCGGAATTGTCATACGGAAAAGCAACGATTACTCTCCTGAAAACTTTATGAAATCTACAATTCCGGAAATACCTAAAATATCTAAATACCTCAACAAGATTTGCCTTGGTCATACATCATCCCATTATGCACAGGAAGTAAATTATACTCTTAAAGAATGCAACAAAAAATTGTTTCTCTCTTCTTGTAACTTAACTCAACTGCTAATCTCACATCTAACAGTAAATAAAAGGTATTTTTAGTCCTCCAACTCATTTTCCCTTCCTTGGATTTTATAAACATAGTAAGATTCTATTAATAAACATCTTTTGTTGTAAATCTGCTTGGTTTGCCAAGAAGACCAAAAGAGAGAGGGTCGGGGAAAACTTGGTCGATTCGTGACATACGTAGCACTATCAGGCGATTTTGTGGAGCTTGGTTGGCCGTTATCAGGCTCTCACTCCCTTATCGCTACCAAGCGATTGCTCGGATTTTCCTTCGCCAAAAGCTACAGAGCCTGCAAATGGATTTTAAAAGTGACAATCTGGCAGCTGGTGTGGTAAAATGGGTGGAGACGACATGCAGCCAAGGGGTGGAGATCCGGGTTATATGTTGGCGACAACGTTTGGAGGTGACAGCCGACCCCCAAACGGTTGGCTGTTGCTATTGTTGTCGTCGCCACAACACGAGGCACCTCCATCCTCCTCGAAATAACAACCCTTGCCCAAAAGAGGGATGGAGATGTTTGGAAAACCACCCGCTGTGCGTTCGATTTATCTGTGTTGTGCGCCTTTGGCAACCTGTTGTTGTTGCTGTTGAGGGCTGGTGGTTTTCTTTTTTTTTTCGGGTCAGAAAATGCCAATATGTGGGGGGTGCTAACAGGTGCCTTACCCTGAAACAGGTCACCGATGTTGACGGGGTGGTAGCCACCCTTGCAGTAGTCCTCCTTTAGCTCCTGATCCTCGATCTCGCTGTTCACTTCGTATGTGAAGGACTCGTTCGAGCTGCTTCGCGGTGGCTGTTGCTCCTTCTGCTTGCTGGATTTAGATTTTGTGTTCTGCGTTTTCTCTGACTGATATTGATAGGGAGTTCCGCCTGATCCTCCGCTGGACGTGGAAGCTGTGGCTGTTTCAGTGACCTTGCTAAATTCGTCCGAAATGGGTACATCCACTTGGCTATTATTAGCATTATACGGTGCCTGCAAGTTTTCGCTGCTCCGATTTGGTTGGGCACTTGGATTTGGATTTGGGTTCGTGTTTTGGCCGGGATTGGACTGATCCTGGGGGTTAGTGCCGTTCTGCTTGCCCCGCTTCTTGTTGTTCTTATGACGCTTCTTCTTCGCCTGAATGGCCAGAACGCGGCGGTTGACGTCAGCCTTGTACATTTTGCTGCTGCTGGTCGCTTCTATTTTACTATTATACCCTTTATTTCCGCCAGGTGTAACAGCTGTTGTATATACCGAATTGGATGAGAAGAGGAGAGAAGAAATGTGGTTAGGGGAGGGTTGATAAAAAAAGGAAATAACGGACACGAGGCGAAGAGAAGAAGAGAACAGACAACGTGCACAAATCTCAATAAGGCAATGTTCGAGGTTCACGCTTGTCTCGCTGTTTTTCTTGCTTTTTTTGTTTCCTCTGCCCTGTTTTCGCGTTGTTGTTGTTGTTAAGTTCTCGAACTTTTTGTTTCACCGCAAATACAGCAACTGCTAAGCAGCGGATTTAGCTGAAAACGTCAGATAATTATCTACTTGCCTCGGGCTCCCACTTGCTCTCAATTAACACGGCTGCTGCTTCGATTTTTGCACAAAATTAGCACAAAAAATCTTTGCTAAAAGCCAAATCCCAAAACGATTCCAGTGCGACCGTACTGCGAACTGTATAAAATACCATCGAGCTCTGAAAAAGACATTAAGACGTAAGGCGTAAGTGCTGCGGCGGTAAAACGGATACTTTCAAAATTATATGCAAGCTAATTACACATATATATTCGTTTAAATAGGATACCTATAATACTATAATATTAACTTGGTGTTGAAATTAGGACTGTAAAAAATTCAACGTTTTAGGGCGTGTTAATATATATACGAAAAAAGTAAATTTACATAATTGTTTTTTTTTTTATAAAAACAAAAGAGCTACATTTAAATTATAAGAGTACGTCTAGCATGCTTAATAAATAGCCAATAAAAAGATAAACAGAGCAACACTGATAAGGTCTCTGGGTAACCGCGGACTCCAACCAACGGTAATACACTAATCGAAGAAACGTAAGCTGATTACGTTGCCTGCGGTGCACTGTCCCGCTCACACGTTGCAGCCACCTAGCGCTGCCTCTTTCGCACTAATTTAGTACTCGATTTGCAAAGCATTTTTGCGCAGCGTTCTCTTTGCCAAAAGCTCTCAAAAATGCAGATCCAATTGACTTACCTGACTTCGCAAGTGGCTGCCGTCTAGGCCAATAGCATTTCAAATCGCCGGCGTTTCGCAGCGGCCGCAAATGCAGCTGAAACGAGCAAAAAACACGCGCACAACGAAAAATCCGCAAGTGGAAAAAACTGCTACGGAAAAAGCAACTCTGTCACCGAGCAGTGTTGTAAGACGAAATAGTCAAACAGCTGATGGACCAGTGCTATCAGGCGATAGCTTTTGGTTACTTACAACACTAATTTCGTTTTGGCGCAATTTTAGTTTTTGGAGGGAAACTGCATTTAGTGAAAAATCGTGGCCAGTTGTAATTCGAGCAGTGCGGTGGCACGACGTGGTGACCTGATAAAAGAATTAAACAAGACTAGTGATTATTAACCAGACGTGCCCATTTGTGATCTCAGCATAGTGGGCTCTATACAACCATTAAACCAGCTGCAATTGCAATTAGAAATAAATATATATATACAAATAAAAAAAATGGCACAGCCATCAGTAGCTGCATTCTTTACCAATCGCAAACGCGCTGCTTTGGATGATGCCACCAGCATTAAGAATAGGGTAAGTTATCTGTCCCAAAAACGTGTCCAGATACAAAAGTATCTGCAAGAGCGTTATGCCAGTGCAGCCATCTTAAAAGTGGCTTTATTTTACAGCGTTTGGCGGAACCCGCTGAAACAGTCGCCCCAGCCCCCTCACAATTGCCCGTCGGCGACCAGGATGCGGATTTGGATACTCTTAAGGCGGCGGTCAGCGGCATGCGGACACGATCTGGACGCACTGCACGCCTGATTGTCACCGCCGCCCAGGAGAGCAAAAAGAAGACATCGTCTTCCGCGAAAATGGAAGCACATATCAAACAGCCTAAATTGGTGCAGTTTATCAAGAAGGGCACTTTATCGCCTAGGAAACAGGCTCAGTCCAGCAAACTGGACGAGGAGGAGCTGCTGCAATCATCGGCTATTAGTGAGCAGACCCCTAAGGTGAACTTCACCATCACCAGCCAGCAGAATGCGGATAATGTTCAGCGTGGCCTGCGGACTCCAACTAAGCAGATCCTGAAGGATGCGTCGCCCATTAAGGCGAACGGCTTGGATCTGCGCCGCCAGCTCACCTTCGACGAGGTGAAAACCAAGGTGTCGAGGAGTGCTAAGCTACAAGAACTGAAGGCGGTGCTAGCCAGGAAGGCGGCCCTCGAGCAAAAGCGCAAGGAGCAGGAGGAGCGCAACCGGAAACTCCGAGAGGCAGGACCCTCCCCTTCGAAGTCCAAGATGAATGTACAGCTGAAGGAGTTCGACACCATCGAACTGGAGGTTCTTACCAGGTGAGCATTTTTACTGATATTGTTACGTCATTTAAAAGGTGGTTGTGGTGAATAGTTTTCTAAGTGCTGCTAATATCCTAGCATTATCCTGGATTCTTAGGTAAACAATTTTTGCCTAAAATAATAGAAGTACCAGAATTTCGCATCTCAGTTTGCGTCCTGCACCAAGTATAATGACAATAGCTTTTGACAAGAACAAGCTAAATAAGAATCTTAAGATATGTGCCTGCCACAACAATTTTGATTTGACTGGCTGGTGGCCTAGAATCGGCATAAACAAACCACGGAGTGTGGAGTGTGGACTATGAAAAAAACCGGGTAACATCATTTAGCGAAAGGCCAGCAGTTGCTGCCATGCAGTTCTGCTGCAATCGAGGTCGCTCTCCGGGTCTCCGGGTTATTCAAGTGCTCGGATTGCTGAAGTTGCATATTTTCCGCCCAAGAGTAGTAGTCACCGATGGCTTGGCTTTGGTCATATAGCTATTCTTGTACGAGTAATTGCTGCTGATTCGTGACGTCTGTACGACATGCATAAATACTCAACTGGCTGACTGACCCTCCCCATCCGCAAATGTGTGTGTATCGCTATGCGCTATATGTTTACCCTTCGCAGACGTTACAATCTTGCCCGACCTTCCCTTTGAAAATGCTTATTTTCCGCCCGCATTCAGGGGTTGCTTTCTCTCTCTATCGCTCTCTCGGAAAATAAGGATCTTAACTGCTGTAGTGCATGGGAATGTGTATAAGTCTGTTTTGGGTTTGTTGTTCAGGTAGCAACCTTTTTTCGTAACGGTTTTCTTGAAGGAAAAAGGTCCCGAGCTCAAAATAGGAACCATTTTCAAATAGGAACAGGCAGAAGAATTCCCATTTCTTATTTTGATAAAAAAGGAATTTATGTTTGTTTTAAATTTTAAAAAAATAAACAAATCTTAACATGATTTTGGCAAACATGTTCCCAATTTTTGATTTAGTCATTTATACTATGATTAAGTTTTAATAATATATTATGATAGTTATAGTTTCGAAAAAGTGTGATAAAAATAACTTATGATCTTTCCTGGTTCTCACTTTCAGCCCTTGCAAGACCTTTAAGACGCCCACAAAATTGCCACCACCCACACCGGACAAACATGAGCTTATGTCGCCGCGCCACACGGACGTCTCGAAGCGATTGCTCTTCAGTCCGGCCAAAAATGGATCTCCAGTCAAATTGGTGGAGGTTCCAGCCTACAAGCGATACGCTAATTTGGTGGAAACCAGCCGCGCCGGCCAACTCCCCTTGCCGTACAAATACCGCCACTTACTGGACGTGTTTAAGGGTCTCGATTCCGTGGTGGCCATGTTCCACAACCGCAAGGAGACCATCACATTCAAGAAATTGAAACCAGCAGTGCAACGCATGCTGCGCAAGAATTTCACCGAGACCCATTTGGCCCAGATCAGGCACATCTATCCGGAGGCTTTCATATTTAGCCAGATGAAGATGCGCAATTTTGGATCGGTGTCCAAAGCCGACTACTTCCAGCTGATCATCAGCCCCAATGTAGAGCCGCTGCCCGAGCAGCAACAATCAGAGAAACCGCAGCGTTTTGCTAAGATCGATGAGGATGATGTGCTCGCGTCGGCCCAGTCGACGTCTATGAATCCACACGTCATGACCGCACGCATGCAGCGCTTCCAGAGCCTATTGCTCGATCGAGTGATGCGGGCACACGACCAGTTCCTGCGCTCCCAGGATCCGCCGATCATCATTGATAAGGCGCTGACCCGCTGGCATCCACAGTTCGATCTGGAGAGCTGTCCGGAGGTGGAGCTGGCCCAGCTACCACAGCCACCGAATGTGGAGAAGTACTCCTCGGCCAAGGATATTCTATCTACTGCCCGAAATCTTTTCAACTGCGCCACCCCGATGGAGAGAGCAATGGATCGCTATGAGGCCAAGTTAGAGGCGGACAAACAAGCGGCTGAAAGCAATAAAAAGGCAGAAGAGCAGCCGACAGGAGTAGTCACTAAGACAAGTACGGGAACTCAGGCAACGCAGGATGTACCGGGAGTATCAGCATCTCAAGGAAAACCTGCTGTTCCTGAAGCAACCGATCAAACAACCACTGCCAAGCCTACGGTAAAAGAATGCACAGCCCCAGATGTCGGTTCCAATCTACTGAAGGGCTTGCCAAAGTCACTGATAGAGAAAATCCGTGCTAAACAGGCAGCCAAGGCTTTGGAGGCGATGACTAGGTGTCCATCACAGGATCAGGAGGCCACCAAGTACTCACGTTTGCCCGAACTGGCCAGACACCTGCGAAATGTCTTCGTTACCGAGCGAAAGGGAGTGCTTACCCTGGAAGTAGTCATTAAAAAGATTCAGAACAGCTTCCGCGCCAATCTCACACCTCAGGAAATCGAGAAGCATCTAAAGTTGATCGCCAAAGAGCTGCCAAACTGGGCATCATTCCATGAGGTGCGCAAAACCATGTATCTCAAGATCGCCAAGGATATGGACATGAATAAGATCATCGAGGCGCTGGAGAGCGTGGCGAACGCAAAGAGCACTTGAATCGGATATGCGCATACGAAACCAGGACGCGGGACCCCGTCGAGCAATGACCCTGTGGCTAAATCCAGCTATATCATTAAGTACTTGTTTAACTAGCTAACCATTACTTTATACAAATAACCGGATTAGGCTAAGCTCCTTGTGTTCCAACCATACTGACATTTCCACATTGAAAAAGCACCTTGACAACCAGGATTGGATTCATCACATTTACCCAAGCAATCTTTAGAACATAATTTTTTGGACCAACCGTTTATACATTCATATTTATTAGTTTTAAGGCCATTTTTCATGTTGTATCACGTTAAATAAATAAATATTTTTGCTGGAAAATTGACTAATTCTATCTTTTTTAATTTTGATCGGAAAAGCTTAAGTAAAGTATTCCATTTTAAGATTCAAACTGTGTTTAAAATTAAAACCAAGGAAAGTTAATGATTAGTTTATCTTAACGTAGCGCCCTCTAGCGGAATTCCACATAAGTAAAATATACACAAATATATTATACATGGTAATGTAACCATTTTATGTATTAAAAGATATTTCCATTACGTTTAATCTGGTCACACTGCAAAGTACATCGCGCCATAATTTTGTGAAATGTTACTTTGATTACTTAAGACAAAATCATGATAAATATTGAACAAAATGCAGACGTACCAATGCACGATGAACCGGAGGTGCCACCACCCACCACAGCAGTTTCCGGCCAGATAAAAGCCATTGCCAAGGACACTGTGCACAAAATCTGCTCGGGACAGGTGACCTAAAGACTAAACTTTGAGTTTGTTTATGTTTCCTAAACATTGAATTTTAAAAATTATAGGTGGTTCTCAGCTTGGCCGTGGCGGTCAAGGAGCTGGTGGAGAACTCTATAGATGCGGGTGCCACTCTGGTGGAGATCAAACTGAAGGATCAAGGATTAGAGGGCGTGGAAGTCAGCGATAACGGCAGTGGCGTAGAGGAAACAAATTTAGAGGGCATGAGTATGTAAACAAATTTCTATTAAGCTTGCGGATAGATGGTAAATCTCACTTTGAACAGCTGCCAAGTACCACACCTCAAAAATACGAGAATTTGTTGACCTGCTTGGCGTGGAAACCTTTGGATTCCGTGGAGAAGCTCTAAGTTCGCTTTGCGCCTTATCGGATATGGTTATCCAAACAAGGCACAAGTCCACCGAAGTAGGTAAGTTCTCGCCATATACATTGCTTTTCCGCCAGGTCACAAAAATCATAATTTCAGGCCTCAAAGTAGAACTGGACCACGAGGGCAAAATAAAGAAGCGTTCTCCTTGTGCCCGTGGAGTCGGCACCACAGTCACCTTGTCCAACCTTTTCTCCACTCTGCCCGTTCGCAGGCGCGACTTTACCCGCAACATCAAGAAGGAGTTCACAAAGATGTGTCAAATTCTTCAAGCCTATTGCCTGGTATCCAAAGGTGTACGCATTCTCTGCAGCAATCAGACACCTAAGGGCGCCAAAACTGTGGTGCTCCAAACGCATGGTAACCAGGAGGTCATGGCCAATATCTCATCCATATTCGGAGCCAAGCAGGCAGCAGATTTGGTGCCATTGAAGTCTCCTTTCGAGCACGGTCAATTAAGCGAGGAGGGTCTGCGGGCAGATCTCGAATCTTCAGCTGATGTAGCCGATACGACTTGCCCGCAAATCAGCGCCGAGGATGTGGAGCGCTTAAACCAAGCGGACTTTCAACTTGAGGGTTTTATATCCAGTTGCCGACATGGTGCTGGACGATCTAGCAGAGACCGGCAGTTCTTTTTCGTTAACTCAAGGCCATGTGATCCCAAGAATGTGAGAAATATAATTCTTTACATTTTTTTTTTATAAGTTTTATTCTTTCCTCAACTTTTCAGATAGCCAAGGTAATGAACGAAGTTTACCATCGGTATAACGTTCAGCAGCAGCCCTTTATTTATCTCAACATTGTCACGGCCCGCTCCGATGTGGATGTAAACCTCACGCCCGACAAGCGCCAGCTGCTGATCAACAACGAGCGGATTCTCCTTCTGGCGCTAAAGAAATCCCTGCTGGACACTTTTGGCCAAACACCAGCTACTTTTAAAATGCAAAACACAACCATAGTGAGCATGCTCGAACCCAAAGTAAAGCTGGAAGAAAGTGAGTCTGCGTTGGAACTAAGCAAGGAAAACATTAATCAAGAAGTAGGAGATATGGATGTTCCTATTAGCTCATCTCAGAGGTTCATGGATGTGCTAACCCAGTGGCGTCGCACGGGAGATACAATAGGTACGGCACCATCAGTTTCTGCCAAGCGACGACACACTGAAGCCGAGGAGTTGGCAACCAGAACTATGAAAATGCAAAAGATTCAACATTTTCTTAGCCAAGAGTCACCGAAGGAGCAGAGCTCGAAATGCGAGTACGAATCTGAAGGAACAAGTGATAATGAAAAGGCGAGGGATAGCAAGGAGCGGAGCTTCCTAAATGATAGCTTATTGAATCTTAAAGAGCTGGCTAAGGAGTCCGAAGGTAAGAAAGCATCACCCAGTGAAAAAGATATTTTTTAATTCATTTAAATTACCTGCAGCGTATGATCTTTTGATGCAAGCTCCCAAAGTAACTCGCATTGACTGCAAGGTTCTTACGCCAGCTAAAAGCCGACAAAGTATTGCCGAGTTCATAGACTCAAAACCAGTGACCAAACAAGAGACCCCTGCAGAAACCAATCAAGGTCCTCCTACTTTATCTCAGCTATCTGAAGAAACCGATATTGCAAGCGATGATGATGATCATATTGAGGTGCCGACACGCATAGAGTTTGATGAGGAAATAGAGGAGGGTCCACCAATACATTTTTCAAGCGGAGAATTGCGCACCACGCTTGAGGAGATTGCGTCTTCCTTAAAGGCCCAGGAGCAGCAACAGCGGGACCGCAAGGCACGGGCCAAGCTTCATCGTCTTCGCTTCAAGACCGAAATTAATCCCAACCAGAACAATAACGCGGAGGCGGAACTGCAGCGGGAGATCGGAAAAGATGACTTTGCCCGCATGGACATCATAGGGCAGTTTAATCTAGGCTTCATAATAGTTAAACTAGAAGATGATCTCTTTATCGTGGATCAGCATGCAACGGATGAGAAGTACAACTTTGAGACGTTGCAACGAACCACTCAATTGGAGTATCAGCGCTTGGCAGTACCCCAAAATCTTGATCTGACAGCGGTTAACGAAATGGTGCTCATAGACCACCTTCCTGTATTTGAGAAGAATGGTTTCAAGTTTGAAATAAATCATGAGGGTAGGATTTCAGTTCGACTTTAGTTTCCTTACTAAAAATGTAATCTTTTTAGCTCCTGCCACGAAGAAGGTTCGCCTTTTGGGCAAACCGCATAGCAAACGTTGGGAATTTGGCAAGGAGGACATAGATGAACTGATCTTCATGTTGCAAGATGCACCCGAAGGCACCTTATGTCGCCCATCTAGGGTGCGTGCTATGTTTGCCTCTCGTGCTTGCAGGAAATCCGTAATGATCGGTACTGCCCTAAACAGGAACACAACGATGAGGAGACTAATCACTCAAATGGGGGAAATCGAACAGCCATGGGTAAGTTTAAAAACTGGGCCCTTAAAAAAAACTGTCATATATGTATGATTGGCAGAACTGTCCACATGGACGTCCCACCATGCGTCATCTCATTAATATCACAATGCTTATGGACAATGATGAGGATGAGGACGAAATGCCTACGTCCCAACTGAAGCAAGATTCAGAAATCGCATGATAAATTATTGTTGCAGTTTTTATTTAATTTAACTTTTCGTTTGAGCCACTAAGTATACGTCATTGTTCTGTAAATGCTTACTTGATTAACGATTAAACGACAGGATCAGACTTACAACTAAAGACAAATACAAAGGTTATCACTTGAGTATGTCTAACAAGCTACTCGTTTTGTTGTTCTGTTTTTATAACTATTACTAGATCGTACTCTAAATATACATATACGGGTACGCTTTATATATAATTTGAGAGGCTACATACTTTCGGGTATATGTGTGCTATGGCTTAGTTTTGATTACTAAATGCTGCTCATCTTTAGTGACTAATCGTAACCAGAGTCGTCTGAGAAATTCAACGATTTGGCAAACAGTTTACAACTCCCGCATTCAAATGTTTGTCGGTTGTCTTTCATAGTTGGCCATAACTTACTCTATATATATTTTGGCCTACTGCCCCCAGATGTGCTCGTATCTTACAGCTGTCGTATCGTACACAAACAGTTTGTCAATCATCATCATCAATCATCGTAATACTAGAGTTTAGTGTTTAAAACTATAAGTTTGCTAAGCCACAAGTATAATTAAACGCTACATTCCTTCCTGTTTAGTGTATAAAATGCATGGCACCCATAGGGAACAGAGTTCGTTGAGCAAGTTACCTTAGAACACAACACTACAGTAACTTAGTGACTATGACTACAGCTACACTTTGATTCAATATCTTTTCTTTTTTTTTGTTGTCATTTCGATTCCAATTTTTCCAGATTTCGTTACGTTTTTCGTTCGCGTCGTTCATACATTTTGTAAATAAAAGGCAACTCATGAACATTTTTGTTTTCAACAACAAGGGACCATGGGCCTCACGCTGATTTTCCCATCTTACATTAACAAACTTTTTGCAGGTGGTTCAGTTCTTAGGTGTTAGATGTTTGTTGGTTAAGTTATCTTTGGAAACAAATAGGATTTGTCACTGGAAACAGAGAGAAGATAGGTGAAGCTGGGAAAACTTTTAAAAACTCAACAGAGAAAATCAACGCTTAGTTTGATAGACTTCTAACACTCCTTTCGTTTTTTGTTTGTTTGAATTTGGCGGAGATGGAATTTCTCAAAAGTTGACCTCGTTTAAAGCTTTTAGGTTTAGTTACCACTTCCGCCAAATTCCTTTGGGATGGAGCTGCCTAAAAGGATATTTCCTTAACCTTGTCCTCCTTAAATCCACAGCGGGCCAATTGTTTCTACTATGATGTCCAGCACATCCTGACGACCCATCTCCTTGAGCGTCAGCAGGAGCGCCATTATCGTGTGCGAAACCGAGTTGGAACTATTACCGGGGCTGCTATTCGCCCGACATTCCCATAGATTTAGGATCTGTTCGGTGGGCGAGGCTTTGGTGGCAAAGTAGGCAATATATCGGTCCGTATTTAGCTTCTTGGCCAGCAATCGCCAGTCCCGCTCGTCGGCCCGAGGAGGATCCAAGGCGGCGCAGATCAAACGCTTCGTGGCATGGGGAAGCTGGACAAAATCCATCACACAGCTCTCGTTCACATAGTTGCCCTGGCGGTCAATGGAGATGGTGGTATTTGTGGTGGAGGCCAGCTCCTCCGCCGATCCGCTCATAGAGTGGGCTGGAATGTTGAAGGTGTAGTAGTCATCCTCGTTACCCTGACCGAAGTCCACGCACAGGGTGTTCTGATCCTGTCTTCTTAAGCTGAACTCGCAGTGCAGGATTGAGTTGTTGCTGAGAATGTGCTGGTAGGGTATGGCATGTTCATAGGGAGCAGCTGCCTCCACATCCGCGCTTCTTACTCGGATGTTAAGATTTCTGTTATTCAGCGTAAAGGGAAAGACCTGGCTCTCCCCGAGGAAACTGCCACCTAGCTTGGCTTCCACATTGGCGCAGATATCCCGGCTATTGGGGAAGTCCTTGACCACGTAGATCCGTAAACTACAGTTAGCACTGCTAGGTGGAGTATGTTGACTAAAGGCCAGCAGCTTCATCTTGATCGAGGGCTGCTGAACCCTCGGTTCCGCTACCACGGTGAAGTGACCCAGCTGCTCCGTCATAATGAACACATGCGTCGCCTCTAGCTGAACAAACATAGGTGTGTTAATTGTCTCCTCGCCGACGGACACCGCGCGTCTCCAGTTGACACTCAGCTCATCGTGTTCGCTGTCTGCGTGGTAGATGTGAACATGCCACTGTTCCGGAGCCACCAAACAATGAGGAATCTTTAGGATCACCGGTTTCACAAAGCTATAGTTTCGAGGGGCACTGTGAACCACACTGCTGCACAGAATGGAGCTTTCGGTGGCGCAGGAAACGCGACTGCATTCGTCACTCAGCAGGAGGAGAGAAACATGCTTCTTTAGGTGCTTCCCAATGGCATGCTCCGGCACAAAGAGGAGCAACTCGCCGCCGTAAAGACGCAGCTGTCCTCCAGCGCTTCCCAGGAGCTCATAGCTGCTGCTCTTTGAGGCGTTAAGTATGGACAGCTTGCCGTTCATATCGAAGGTGGAGTTGGCTGGTGGATAAGATGGATGTTAGATTCGTTTCAAATTAAGTACTATTCGGTTGACTTACAGGTATCCGCAGTGGAGGATTCTCCCGTCTCGGACAGATAATCTACGCTCAGATGGTCTATGGGATTGGTGTAGCTAAAAGGAGAAGCAATCCATAATTATAAAATCACTTTTATTGGTCTTAGGGCTTACAAAAGTATTTAATGTTAAGGCTGTTGGCTGTATGGGGATAGATTAAAAAGTTTATGTCTACACATTGTTAAAACACAGCAAGAGAAGTTTATGGTGGAGATACTTCACTGTGGGCACTATAATTCCGTGCCAGGAATATTAAAAACCGCATAACTATTGCCGCACTTTGGCGAATTTTAATGACTTGTGAGTCATATAAAAAATGTAAGCCGCTGTCATGAACAAGTATTAGAATTTAAGAATTCAGAAGGGCGGCATATGAAAATTTTAAGAGTCACAGCATGAAATTTCCATTTAAGAATTCAGACACCTCATAAAAATGGTATATTTTATTTAAAAAGCTTTCTATATGTTGAGTTCAGGGTAAAACAATATAAAAAATAAAGGAATTGAAATCACTATAGGAAGAAGTATATTAACTTCCTGGTCAAATTGTCAAAGAAATCGAAGATAATCCCTTGATATTAAAACCGTTCATGCCTTATTTGTCAGCTATAAAACTTCATGGCGGGAGTATTTATGCCATATTGTAACCAAATCAAGACTGGAGAGTATCCAAAGAATAAAAAGGACATATAAAAGGACAAACTAATAACATTTATAGCTTATTTGTACACTTACTTGGCGGACAGATTGGGCACATCGTAGTGGTGCTCGGTGACGCCTCCACATCCAATGCCCATGCCCATGATGTGTTCGCCAGGCAAATAACGATGTCCGGGATTGACGTAATCGTATCCCATGTTGTTGGCCTCGATGTGCATGCGCATCTCCTTCTTTTCCACAACACCGGGCATATAATCCGCGTCCATTACTGCAAACAGAGTCGAAATAAACACGGTCAATTGCTGGCGGCAAAGGCAAGAGTACAACACGATGCAGGAGTCCTTTATAACTTACCTGAACGGGCCATGTTGTAATGGGGATTGGTGCGGATGCCACGGCGGGCGCAGCAGATGAGCGCGGTCCCAAAGGCGAAACACACCGCGGTTATGAAGGCCAGTCCCAGATAGAGGGTCCAATCGAAATCTGCAATTGCGAAACGATACGCATCTATATTAAACTGCTGAATCGGCTCTTTATACCCTGTAAAATGGTTTAATAAAGAAAGTGTCCTGGCACCTAGTTCGGTAACTGAACAATCTTATAAATACTTTTTGCAGTATTCCAGTATAGTGCTAAGAAAATATTTTTGGCCTACGCTTCAAAACTTTAAATTTCTCTGAAAAGTTTTTAAATTCTAAAAACGTATTTTAATCAATATAATGTAAGTCTTTGACCAAGCTTTTCCTTTATTTGTTGTACTAACAACTAGATATTTTTGTATGCTTCCAATGATTGGGACTTAACTACTGAGTATTTTCGAGCTCATCCTCAAAAGTGGTCCTTAAAAATCCGTTCACCTTCTAGAGAAGTGAATGGCAATAAAGCCAGCCTGCCTGCAATTCCAGCCTGCGAACCAAGATGCTGCCACCCCATCCCCAGCAAATTGCCAATCTTTGTGTGCTTGGGCATTAAAAAAAAAAAAAAGAAACCAAGAGATTTCTGCGTAAATCCGCCACCCTCATGCTGGTTTCTTTTTTTTCCATCCAGGATGCCTGCCAAGCAAAATCCACACATTCATGGACGTTGAGTCAACCCGAAACCGAAACCAAAAACCGAAAACGAACCGAACCGAACTGAACTGAACTGAACTTTTCCATAACCAAACAGGCATCCTCTCACCCATTGTCATCAATCCCGAGCAGCCATGCGTATCCGTATCTGGCGGAGCAGAGCAGAGCAGTGTATGTCTGTATTTAATGTTTTATGTTTGTATGCTCATCCCCAGTCCAGCTACGTCTATTTCGCATTATTATTCGCCGGCGGCCCCCCGTCGCCAGTAGTCAGTTGCCCGACATCCCAGTACCCAGAACCCAGAACCCAATCCCCCACACATCTGTATAGCCCATCTCCATGCCCATCTCCATAACCATGATATCCACCACCCACCCATCGGACGCCCATTGTTGCGCTGGCTGTTTCCGTTGCTGTGATTGTTGTCGTCATTGTTGCTGGCGCTGGCGGTGACTGGTTGGCCAAAAAGGAATCGCTGCAGCGCAAGAAATTACTCTGTATATATTATGATTATTATGCCGTATAGTACAGTCGGTAAAGCCGGGCTAGAAGTGTGGGCGGGGGGCGGACGCATTATACAATGTATGAAATGAGCAATTATATTCGCTGTAAATCAGCGGCAGCATCGGAAATGGCAGCAGAAGTAGAAGTTGAAGTCCCTAGCAGCATCCCCAACTGGGATACTACTCCAAGGATCTCGGAGCTTTCGTTTTCCCTTTGCTTTTGTGCATTTTGCATGCTGCTTTTTTTATATTTTTTTTGTATTTTCATTTTTTTTTTCTTTGCCTCCTGCACGGGACATCAAAAGGGGATTCGTCTCCTTGGCCTGACAAATACGCTTTTAATATCAGATGGTTGAGTACGGGATGCTGACAATGGGCCATGATGAAGCCGCAGGTATTGGTGGCCCCAGGGATTTTCGCCCCAGATTGGTTGAGCTTTACCGAAACGAATAATAAAATCGAAAATAAGCTGCACACTGTGTTGGTCTTCGTAAACTTTTCAGCAGGCAATCAAATAAAAGACAAACCTGCCAAAAACCCCAACAAACGCTACTCTTGTACCCTGATCCTTTCAATTACACACTGTGACAGCCATCTAATTGATCCCCACGGACCGCACAAAACTATGTTTGAGTTGGGTCAATCGCACACTTTTCCCACTTCCCACCCGCTGATGAAAATCGAAGCGCAAACAGCAACAATGACACGGGAAAAGCCCACAATTGGGGTGGCAAAATGGGTTTAGGAGGTATGTGGATGCTGATGCTGCTGCTCCTGCTGTTGCTGTCTTTGCCGCACGCCTAATTATCTGGCAAAGCACATAAACCCTCAGCCGACTTGTGTGGGACCCCCACTTAAATCTCAATTCCAAGTGCTGCTGCGATTGATTTGCGACCCTTCTTCGATTGGGGGTTTTCCTATCGAGGATTGTAAGTCGGAAGTTGAGAGTTTAGGGCTGGGGGCTCTTTAGGGTGAACTGTCCACGCCATGCTTTCTATACTTTCTATACTTCTATATATATATACGAGTATATACTTAAATCTGTATAAATAAGCCCGTGGTCGTGCACAAACAAATGCACTTGGTTAATTTCCCATTGTGACAATCAGCGTTGAGTGCTCGGCTTTTGTGCTAGAAGAAGAAGGCATGGGTTTTGGGATTCTGGGGTTCTGGATACTGCATTCTGGCTCTGGATCTACTGTTATTGTTGTCTAACTGTCTACTTTGTTGCTCCTGCCTGGCATTCATTCTTGTCATAAGCATAGAGACTCACCATCCTTGCCAATCTGGCACTGTTCGCCGCGGCATTCGGCCGTTTGTATGTCTTTTCCGGCGCACAATGATTTGCCATATCCTGGGATATTGTCGGAACTGGAGCCAGTTGCTTCGCTGGGGCTTCCTACACCTCCTCCTCCTCCTCCTCCTGCAGCGATGAGGGCGGCCATGCCCACTCCGGCACCCAGGAGCAGATCACCGGCTTCCTCTGCTTCGGAAATCTGAGTCTGGCCCTGAGTCAGGCACTTCCGGCGACGCACTTGAATGCACTCCGCGGAGCAGATGCTCCAGTCACTCCACGCCGACCAGCGGGCCACTGTGAATGGAAGTGGGTAAAGCACAGGCAGTTTAGAAATCAAAAGTCATATTAACATGATTTAGCACACATTCCCGACAGCGGCACTCCCCGGGTCATATATCAAGACCGGGGGCCATAATCAGGGACGTAGGACGCTGTGGCATTCCCCCCTCTTTAGGCTTCTGCTGCTGCTACACAATTACGGTCTAATAAATGGTCCATGGGGAGAAATCGAAAGTTTGTTCCCACCATAAAATTAGTGGGTCTTCCTCAGTCCCTTATTTATATATTTTTTTTTGTTTTTACCCCCCGAACTCCATTGGCGACGCCTCTGTTGATTTTTGGGGTTTGTGCGTGGGTGGGTGAGTAAAAGTGATTGTCATTTTAATGCTTTTCTATTTTCGCATTTTCTTTGCTATTTCAATTTCCCTGCTTTCTTTTTTTTTTGGGTAGGGAGAAAACGGAAAGTCCGAAAGCTAAACAAAAAGCCAAAAATGTTCATGGTGTGATGCATGCCAATGGCAGCTGGAATATATGTTCGACAGCAGTACACTGAACGAAAAACCAAGGAAAACTATATACATTAATGTTCATTAATAAGGAAAGCCAAAGAATTACTCATTCCTCTTGATAAAAAGCCATTATTAATAATGTTTTAAGCCAAATCTGCTTTGAGTATGAATGATTAGTATAAAAAACTTATTTTCAAATTAAGAAAATTAGCACTAATTAGGTCTCTAATTAGATAGCAAATAAATTTTAAACTTAATACTCCAATTTAAAGACATAGTTTTCCTCTCAGTGTGCACACATACTAGTATAAATACATCGGCATTTGGCACTTCCTGTTTTGGAAACATAAAACCACCCCCAAAAAGGGCGCACAGAATTCCGGACTTGTCGCCAGCCATCATCACATTGCCAGGCATTTAGTTTCCCCCCGCCGCCTAACGTTACGCCCTGCGCATCCTGATCCCCAACCCCTGTCAATACTCATCCCTGGACGTATCCTTTTTCGACCCCAGGCCAGACCCAGACTGTTGCATGAATCAGAGAGCATGGTAAGTCGTGGTAAGTGATTTTTAAGTTTCTATCTGCCGCAGTGACGTCACTTACGACCCCAACGGAAAGTAAGTCACTTCAGTTAAAGTCAGTTAAAGACTATATGGCTGTTGTGATTTTTGTGGGGAATACCCGAAACGAATGACGCCACGGTTGGTTGGATGCTGATGCCTCCGGTTGGGTTTAACGCGATTGTTTATTGGATTGTTAGGGCCCCAGTGGATTACGGGTGCGGGGTTAACCCCCAAATAGAAAAAATGAATTTAACTGTCATCGGCTCGTTAAACATTCAAGTTTAACTGCTCGAACACAATGTCGTATTGAATCCTTTGGCCCCCATCCGGTTCTGGCCCATTCCAAGAGGACCTCCTGGGATGGGTGAAGCCTTTTGAGGGAAATGCACATTGTCGGGCTTTCGGTTCAACTTACTGCGCTTACTCGACGAAATGTCAAATCCATCAGGGCTCACGATTTGAGTGTCCTCTGTTGTTGGCAGGCGACAGTGGCGACGGGGCGTCAGGACGTCAGGACGACGGGACGACAGGACGACGGGACGACAGGACGACGGGACGACAGCGTAATCACAGGCGTTTGGTGGGCGTGGCGGCAGGACCATAAGGTTGACACGGTTCCATGGGGATGAAAAGTCGTCGTCAGATGGGAAAAGACCAGAAAAGAAAAAACGAAAGCCAAGCGAAAATTTAAAATTAATTTTATGACACACTTTTCATAGAAAAGAAATACCCAAGTCCACAATGGCATCCCCATTCCTGACGACCGAACGAGGCCCCCTCTTCTTCTGGAGTATATATAAGTATTCTACCCAGTACCCATCTACCCATCACCCCATCCCCATTCCCATTTGCCCCGCTTGTCTGTCAACAATTGCTCATTGCTGTGCCCGCTGTGCGCCTGGCCAAGTATCCTACGAAATCTCCGTGTGGGTGAGTGTATCTGTGGGAGCACTACAATACAATACAATGCAATACAATAAATTTACATGAATAAAAGTGAAGAGTCTCAAACACATGCCGCCCGTGCGTCTGTCAAAAAGAGAGCGCCCCAGCCACCACTGTTCACCTCATTCCAATCCATTCCAGATTTCATCCACAGTCGCCAGTTTCAAGTCTATGGTCTCAGGTCCCTTTCTCCCCACCGAATTCATTCCTTTGTCACCATTTAGTCGATGGCACGCCGACGGCAGGCGTTCCCCGACTGCCAAAGTCGGCGGCCCAATCTATCCATCTATATACGCGCTCGCATGTGGAGATATCTGTCGACGGTCCACGGCACCGAATGCGTGTTTAAAATGAAATACTCAGCACTCACTCAAAAATGTATTATACCATTGTTCGCACTGGGTATGGTGACTATAACGAGGGATTCGTCTATATTTAGTTCTAATGTGGATTAAGTTATTAATCTTGAAAAGGACTATTTTGAAGTGGATATGCTAGGGGATTATCAAGTCAGAATGAGAAATAATTTGTAATATTATTGTTTTGCGGTAATAGTTTATGTTTTAAGAAGTATTTCCATCCTTAGAATTATTAATACAAGTTATAGAGAGATTTTCTTTAGTAGATCTCTCTCTAAGTCTCTTTCAAATTCTTAGATTGAACAGCAGGAATTTAATTTTAAGGTCCCAGCTGAATTGAGCTCTAATGCATCGAATATTGAAGCATTCCGCACAAATCCTGTTCATCAAAAATCAATCCCAATGCCACTCTAATCATTTATGCAAATCCCATCCTATTTGGATTATGATAATCACTGAAATCCTTAGAGTATGTCTAGTTCGGCTTGACCCTTAAGCTTATCTTGTCTTTTCCTTTTTTTTTACTTTTTGTGGAACGCCCCCTGAACTTTTGCGTTGTGCAGTGCTTTGTATTTTGGACTGTCCTTGCCACTCCACATCTCCCCTTGAATATTTCCTCCGTGGTGTGAAAAATACGCGTTGTTCTCAACGCTCCAGGAGATGTATCGACAGAGTCAGCGGGGCACACAAAGAGAAGCCCAGAGAAGGGGCATGTGGTGCAGGTGGCGCCCAAGTTGGAATCCCGGCCGCAAAATACCATTTAAATTGACAATTTTGGCTGCTGCTTTACAGCTGCCTTTAAGCTTCCCCCAAAATCGACCACCCCCATACTACGAAACCCGTATATAATGGGCGTGTTGGCCGCAATTCGTAACGCCCACAATTTTGCGGATGACCGCAGGAACGTACGTACCTGGACATGCGGCACAGTCGGCGGACTTCTGGATCTGGGGGCCCGGACATTGGGCACCCCCATTCAACGGCATCGGATTGTTGCAGGTGCGCGAACGCTTCCTTCCCTGGCTGGGCTTGCCCGCACACTTGCACTCCCGCCACGGGCTCCAGGTGCTCCAGCCACCGTTAACTGTGGAATGAAATCAGAAAATAAAATAATTAAGAGCGTTATCGACCGACCAGTAAATCGAACATGAGATTACCCGGTACTCAATTTAACTTTTAATACGATTGTGGACCTTATAGACTCGTAGAACTTTAATGGTTTAATATTATCTTTATATTTTTAATTTTGAGAAAGAATCTTAATCTTGGTGAACTTTTTATAAAAGCTCCCATAGATTTCACAGCAGGGTTAACATTCATGGATATATGTTCCCAAAGAGTACCGTGTAAAAACATCATCAACTTAAAAATGCAGCCTGAATACTGACCATAAACGATGAGCACGGCGGAATCGGAGACCCGTCTGCCGGCGATATTCTCCGCACTGCAACTGTAGTTGGCCATGTGCTGCAGGGCCACCTGGCGGAAGGTGAGCGTGCCGGCCGAAACGCTGATCCCCGGTTCACTGTCCGCAGTGATGACCGCGTTGTTCTTGTGCCAGGTGAGCTTCGGTTCGGGGAAACCGCCGGGTGGCTCACAACGCAGTTCCGCCCGACTGCCCAGCTCCAGGCGCAGTGAGGTGGGCGACTGGTTGAAGGACTTGCGAATATCTGTTGAGGGTTAAAAAAGACAGATGCAGGATATACCGATATAGATATAGATTCAGATATAGATAGGGGTAAGCTAACCGAGGGTCAGTTGTTGACAGGAAGCCACCCCAGGACAAAGGTGCAATGTTAACTACAAAAATTACACTATCAACTACATGAAAAAGGTAGTATTAGTACACTACGAAAAATGTTTTGAAAAAAGGAACTTTTTGAAGGAATCTAAATATAATAATATTCACTTAATAAGGTTTCACTCAAGGTTATTTACAATGCAATCCATAAATTCCACATTTATTTTATCAGTGTAATACTCACAGGCAATGTGGACGGTGGCCGCCTGACTCTTGACCACGCCACGTGACGACCAGGCGTGGCACTCGCACTTAAAGGGCCCGTCCCCAAAGAACTCGTCCACCAGGTCGCGGTGAATGGTGGCGGTCACCTCCTCCATGTTGACCCCTGTATGCGGATCCACGTGGGTTTCGTGCGTCGACGGTGGTGGTTGCGAACTGCCGCTGCACTTGAAGATCACCTGCAGCGAATGGGAGGCCTTGCACTTGAGTACAGCTGGCCGGTTCTTGACCACGAACACACTTTCTGGTTCTATGAGGAAAATGGGTAACGTATTACTGGCCTCTCCGGGACTCAGTTTGCCAGTGTTGAACTCCTCGAGGAGTATACCCGCTCCAGCAGCCGCACTCGATGATCCCGACGAGGAGGATCCATGTGGCGGCCTGGCATTTTCATCCTCACTACTGTTACCCAACAGTTCCACGTTGTTTTTGTGCGGCGCCGTCTCCTCGGTGACCAAGGAGTTGGCAAAAGGAGCCATCGCCGTTAGGGGATCAATTGCATCCTCCTCCAGGGAGGCGGACAAACTGCCGTAGTCCAGCTGCGGCAACTCTCCGGAAACTGACACCGAGAACAGCAGGATTACCTGGAGGTTAACCAGGAGGGCAATCACATTTCCGGCTTTATTAATCACCGCCATGCTTCGCTGTCAGGTGGCCTGTCGTCCGGCGTAGGTGTCTCTTTGTCCTGCACTTCCTGTGCAACTGAGGCACCTGCAGGGGCACCTGCAATAGTTGTTGCTGCTGCTGGCGATGTGGCAAGCTAGCTGCAGGAGCTGGCATTAGCATTAGCTGCACACTCGCTCCGTTGACGTGGTGAATACGATCTGAAAAGTCAGATAAGAAAATGCCAGTTAGCTACTACGACTATTACCTTTAGTATTTACAACGTCACCGACCAAGCAATTTGCGCACTTGGCAATAAGGCGATTATTTACAAAGCGGTCTGTCAAGCCACGAAAGTGTCCATGGTTTGACTAAAGTGTTCATATCTTTGACGTACACGCTTAGAATTAACAAACTTATGGTTTTGGATTTGGATTTTATTACTATTGTGAGACGACTTCTCTACACTCTATTCGCTCGGAAGTGCCTATAGAGGTAAAGCGATAATAACTATATTATCATTTTTCAATGAAAAAGTATGTAATTATAATAATGGAATACTCAGTTAAACACCTGCCTTCTTATGATACAAATCCCTTTTAACAAAGATAAAAGAAAAGGTGTCGGCTTACTGAAACATTTCCCATAGTCAACAGAGTCCTTAAGGGTGGCAAGTCTTATAGAGAAAATGATGTAATTATGGACCAACCCCTTTCCACATCTAAAAGATGCTCACTTCGTTGTATGAAATTATCTGGGATTGTTTACTTGAGTTTAGATATCATTTCCTGCCGCCTAGGTAGAACCTAAACTTCAGATCACTCAGATTCCAATCTACTGACAGGATCAATGGGAAAATGAAAATGTATCGTCTGCACTTAGGGACACTTCCTGTCCTCGGAGCTCAATCGATGAGTTGTCTCCATCAATCAAGGACCAATACACCCCAAACCGACAAATTTCCAAGTGTAGGGCAGCGTGGTCACAAGTTACAAAATATCCCCATTAGCCATGCAAGTCATGCGTCAGGTTCTACGAATCGTTGGTACCTAATCGAAATATTAATAACAGGTATAAGTATGCTCCGTCACACTGCAGTTCTCCCGGGCACCTAGGCAGTTCAGGACGTGGTCTCTGCCACGGGCTGTGGGAAAAGTGCCTTTTGTCTTTCTTAGTTATTAAGTGGTAGAGTGGAGTGGTGTGGACTCAAGTAGAAGATTGGGAACGAGAAGGAGGCATGCCTGCACGAACACCGCGATAAGTCCGGCCCCCGTCTTTTGAGCCTCACTTTGAGTTGGAGTTTATGCGTTTGTCTTTGTAATTATGTATTAATCATGCATAAGTTAAAACTCAAAACTCCCTCTTCCCCCGCTACCTCAAACAGAATTTTATTGCCACCGACGTGGGCCATTAAAAGGCGCATCAAGTAAAAGTCGATATGTAAATTTTGCGGAAACGCTGATATGCGATAAGTGATTATTATTAGGGGTTCCATGCGCCACATGGAAAACTCCATCAAATCAAAGTTACCCAGTAGTAGCTTGTGGTCCGTGACCACGAATCGTCGTAATAAAATATCGGGTAATCAGAAGTTAAAGGGAAATAATATTGGTCGTCATCATCATCATCATCGCGAGCCTCGTTTCTTTCGGCTTAAGCGCCTTTATGCGTAATTCAATTGGATTTACAGGGTGCTTGTGGACACTTGAGTGTCTGTCAATATTCGTCTTCATGTGTGGATGGGCAATGGGTGATGGTAAATGCTATATATACGATATCCCATATACATATATCTGTAGTGTGGGCGGTCGGTGCTCATGTAACTGACCAGATTATAATAGTCTTCCGAGACTCTATCCGCTTTGTTTTGTATGTGCATTCAATTATAGATGGGAAATTGAAGCTTCGTTTTGTTTTCGATTTGTCTAGACTTTTGTTTGACGAGGCCGAGAGATTGGGCCACATTGTTTGCCGCCCTGCTTAGCTAAATTACATTTTGGCTAAAGTAAATCGATATAGCCATCAGCGAAAATCGAACTGATTTTCAGCTCATATAAGCAGCAAGAATATTTATTACTGCAGCTTCTCTTAAGCATAATGCTGAATTTGCAGGCATCTATACTCGTACTATATATATTTACATGACAACAGGAACAGCCGAACTGATGGCGAGATTAATCAAAGTCTGGCACATAAAATAAACCCAGATTGAATCGATTGAATGCCTGCCTTATCGGACCAAAAGCTTCACTGATCAGAGGTTCGGAGTTGGGGGGTTTATTGTACATTACTTTTTAATAGATTTTTAATGAACTGAAGTAGGCCAAATGGATTGTAAGAGGCGCTTATCAGCGACATTTCATTGTCTGCGGGTGTACTTTATAATCGAATGGGTTTTATTTATTGAATGCAAACTTGTCGTTGGCAAATAAAAAAACCTGCATTGATTTTGGCACGCAAGCATCCGGGGGAAACCCCCATCCACTTCCCCATCCTCATCCTCTGAATGAATGACTGACTGAATGACAAACTGTGGGACACACACGCAATGTTCACTGGGCGAAAAAAAGAGATTTACATCATATAAGAAAGTATTTCTATAATTCATAAGATCTTGAGCCTTGTTTAGAAACTAAATACCAACTTAAAACTTGTTAAAAATTGAAATACAGAATAAAGTTGCCAACTTTTTCTTCAGTTTGGAAAAGTAGTTTACTGCCAAAAAAAAGTTGATGGAGTTAAGCAAATTTATAAGCCTGTCTGAGCACTTTAATGGATATGGATATGGATATTAAAGCAATCAGGTCCGTTGGAATGACATTTTCTCTAATTAAAGTGTAATGACTACCCCACTTTTGTTTATAAACATTTCAGGTTTCTATGTTTTTCTTTTGTTAAAGCCAATCAGCGGAAGTATTAAATTTCCCAACATTTCGAGTATAGTTAATATTATAACTTAAGAGATTTAAAAGAGCTATTCAATTGATAATAGTAAACTTATACCCCTTATCACCCCTTTTATAACTACCAGACTCAAGGATATTTTTCTCTCTGTGTTGTCTTTGAGATTTATGGCAAGATACGGCGAGTTGCGTGTGCATGTAATCATCTTATATTGTGAGCAGTAGACGCCACCGAAGTCCCGCTGAACTTTGATGATTTCCCAAGCTCTCGGATTCCGCGGAGGAGGATGAGATTGTGTCGCCAGCACTTGCTTCCTAGGCAGCCAGGCTGAATGAATGGAGAATGCGAATGGAAGACTGCGTGGGATAATCGGCGTCGTATTCAATTTAATTTCACAACTATTGCGGAGTCTCATCGACGAAGTGTAGAGGCGGAGAAGCCCTTCCTGTGCCGAATGAGAACTTCCAAGTGAACTCCAAGAACACAGATTCGGCTCTGGCATTTCGAGGGAAATGGAGATGGGAATGGGGATGGGGATGGGGATGTGGGATACGGATTGGGATGGGGGAACAATGCCAGAACACACAAAACAAGTGAGCATTCTATAAAATAATTGATGACTGACTGACTCAGTTGCTTGGCAGCAATAATTTTTATACTTCTGGAGCACTCGCACACACACTCTTGAGCACTAAAATCAAATGCCACTCGAAACGCTGCGCCAGTCGCTTGGTGACTGCCCTGAAGTGGATCCATGGATGTGGATGTTGCTGTTGCTGTTGCTGTGGCTGTGGCAGATGCCGCTGCCTCAATTGCGTGTGACTTGAGTTTTTGCTACTCCTCCTTGTAGTTATGCTGTACAATCGCCGGAACATCTGTAGCACAAATGAAATCTTTAATGCCCAAGGGACCGTGCTGGTAACTCTGAGGCATCTGTATTTCACATGTTGCGCATTTTGCCCACACACTCCGCAACTTGAGACCTTTATAGAGGCAGCTATTGTGAGATCTCAGTTCGCAACGTACATTTCATTTTTTCGGGCCACTCGCCGCTGCCTGTCTTGTAATCAAACAATTAAAGATGATTTTAATTAATCTATTTATAAAATCCTCCCCCATTGCCGAACCCCGTCGCCGTCATAACTGCTCAAAATTGAATGTGACGCGAGCATGGCTTGATCGAACCAACTCGACGGGGGATGCGAGCCCAACAAACGACAACAAACATCTTTAAATTAATTAAGCGTAATTGTCGAGGAATTAGAAGTAGAAACAAAAGTTTCAAGCATGAGTTATGGGCCAGATACAGTTCATGTTACTCGACAAGATACACAAGATATAATCATAGATGAGGCTGGCGTTGGGGGGTAGGAGGGCCAGCATACTTGTGCCTCGTCTGCATGCAATAAACAAATTATTTATGATTCCATCAGCCGCATAAGTAGCACAAACTGAACAACTGATGACGGCCCTTATCATTTGTATCGTATTAGCAAAGTTCTCTAATGTGTCCGGTTCTAACAAATGATGTCCGTGGCCTAATTTATGTTGCCAAAACTGGCCAGATGCCAGCTGATGATAGCCAGAGAAAACAGTTGCCTACGCATGACGAAGATGCAATGATAAGAAGTCGGGTTTATATATATATATATATGTGTAGAAAGTTCTACCTAAAGGCATGTTAATTCCGTCTTGATTCCCATCGGCATCGATCGGCTCAGTTCAATCCAACGATTTACGACGGTAAGCCTAGACTGCGCCCTTACTACCATCAGCTACCTACTTTCGGAACAAAGCCAGTTGCCGAAAGAAAATGAAAAGAGCCTATTCTTTCACTTCGATCGACATCTAATCCAGTGTTAAGTCGCCTCTCAGTCCCATGAACCCATGGAGGAACCTATAGGAACCCGAACGACCTTTAGCTTCTACATATGTTAGAGAACGCTGGAATGACAATTAATCACCGCAGGAGTCAAAGATGTGCTCATGCAACGTTCCCATGTCCCGAAAATTTCGAATTTCGAAGGCCTAGCCCTACCTCCAAGCCCTTGTTTGCCCATCAAAGGGAACAGCTGTATCTGTATCCGAAGGACGGGGTATGAGTTTCGATTACTGTTCTATGTGTTGCACAACCCCTAAAATTATGACTAGGAGGCCGAGTGTGAGAACTTGTGAAGGGGTAAGAGTAAGAGCTGCGCGTAAATTGTTAAAAAAGCAGAAACCAAAGTGTGAGTCCAATCATTACGTGCATTTGTCAAGGCCTGAGAATTGTTCCGAATGTCGCTGCTGGTTGTCTGAGTGTTTCATACCACTTTTTACCATACTATACTATATACCATATACCATTCCATTTCGTCTGTCTGTCAGTCAGTCAGTCAGTCAGTTGGTACGTCAGCCAGTCAGTTAGGACTTTTTCGACGTCCAAAGGGGATCATTATATGCCAATTGGCGATTGTTTGTTACCCACTCACCGAACCAACGTTTGTCGCGGAGGGTTGGTAATTGCAATCCACATTTGAATTTACATTTGAATAACGGTTACAGGCCCAAATTATTACTGTAATTGCGGCATGTTGATCGCGGCATCCCGTTGGTTGGAGTTGTTATTATAATTGTAGCTAGCTGCATCTTTTATCAATGAATTGAGTGCTGCACTCTCATGAGGGCCTCTCGACAGCCTCTGCCCGCCCGACCCGTCCACCCCGTGATCCCACTCCGTGACAAGAAAAACAAAAATAAACATACTGAGAAAAAAATCCCATTAACAAAATCGTTTGATAATCTTTTAAAGCGGTTTGTTTTGTTCTTAAAATACAAAAAATAATCAAATTGAAAAGATCCTATATTAGAAATCTAAAATAACTATTGAATTAAGATTTCAATTTCCGTTTCCATCAAAGTTTAAATCGTGATATTAAAGAGAAACTTAAACTAGAATCTCAAACAAAGAAACAAACCTTATTTACAAGGTAACCCCTATAAGCTTCCTGCAATCAAACCGAAATTAAAACCAGCTTGATATCTTTTTTTTCCTGTGCATTAACACACACAGTCGCATTCACTCACAGCAAATACACATGGCTAAGCGCAATCATAAAATACAAATAAAAATAAAAATACACGATGGCGTTCAAAAGGGCACGCTTTTCATAATAAACATTAGCGAGCGGCCCCTGTCGTCCCTTCTCCACCTCTATTGCCTTTCCCGCGGTCACATGGTTTGAGGGTCGTCCGCTCCGCTCCAGTCGGTTCCGTTTTCCCCCCAACTCCTTCACATCCTCCTCCTCCTCCTCTTCCCCCTCACCCGCAACTGCTCCTGGCTCGCTTGTTTGTTTGTGAATTGGTCGTCTTTAGTTACACTTGAATACGTTTTGTGTGTTGTCGCCGTCGTCCAGTGGTTCCGCACACTGTTTGTGTCCCTGTGTGGGTTATGGTTAGCTGGCTGGCACTTCACCTCCTACTCAATGCACTTTGCACCTTAAAAATAGCATTGCAGTGGCATACTTAGCGGCGCAGGAAGCGACGGCCAACAACTGCAGTGCGCCCCTTTTCAGTATATCTATGTGTGTGTGTGTTGGTCTGTGTGTGTGCCTTGTTTTTATCCTGTCCGAACACTGGGGTTTCTTATTATAGTTAAGCATCGCTACTTACCCGGTGTCTCGCTTTTGTTGCTCCCGTTTCTGCAGTGCGACCAAAGGAGCGGGCTGTTGTCTTAGGAGCCAACATGTATCCAGATCCAGTTACATGTCACCAGGCCCCTTTGGAATCCTTCTAGACAGCCTATGTACGCGTGTGTGTGTTTATGTACGCTTAGGACATCTGTAACCTTATCGCTTTTAGTTTACTTGTCTCCGCTTACACTTATTATGAACGAGCACTGCACATCGCTTTCCACTCAGCACCGAGAAAATATAGATATCCTGCTGGTATTATTATTATGGCACAAGGTAAGGTATCTCTATCCCGCATATATATTTTTAATATCACTGTTCACACGATCGAGCACTTGGTTTTCAATATGCGCGCTCGAATATACGAAATTTGAAAGTAACAACCACTTCGACGAGCCGGCGTGCGTCCGTTTGCCTCGACGTTTGGCGTTCAAATGAGACGTGCGTTCGTGGCGATAGCATAAAGGCTGTGATGACAGAGCGCCCTGCACTCAGAGAAAAAAACACCCTTAATGACAGAAACAGACAACTGCGAAATCATAAAGCCAATTAATATAAATGTCTTGTTTAGTAACTAAGGGCCTAGTGTTAAATGCATTCATAATAAATTTCTTAAAAACAATTAACATTTTTTAATTCTTTTAATTTTTTTTTGTGAGTCAAACTAATTTTAATACAACTTGTTGTTGTTCTTTAAGTTTTTGAATGTTTGTGATTGTTTTTCTGAGTGTAGTTGCGCTCTTTGATTCCAAATCAGAGAGCGCGTGGCGCTTTTCTTCCTGCCTCTCTCTTTCTCTCGCACACAGCATCCCCAGGAGGAGCATGTGGTGTTGTTGTTCGCAGCATATGTGCAGGAGCTCCAAAAGAGAGTGAAACTGAGAGGGAGGGAGAGAGAGAGCGCCTCTCATGTCGGACGCACTTTACGATGTATATGTACATGTTCTAGTATATGTATGTATGTACATTTGGCTCCTTGGCTATTTTGTATCTTTCCTGCCTCCGCCCGCTTGTTGTTGTTGTTGTTGCTGCTGCATTCTAATTTTACGCACTGGATTCCTGAGATGCTTTCATATTCCCCGTTTGATGATTTATCGACTGCAGCGGCAATTAAAAGGCCTTTAGCGCTACTTTTTATCAACTCCACTTACTGTGACATTGGAGTTTTATTTATATTTTGTTGTGCGCGCACACCCACAAACACACACAAACACTCGAACGCAGCACTAAACCACTACGCACTCACACAAACACCAACGCACACCTAAGCCAGGAGATTTTTTGTTGGCTTTGATTACCATTTTTTTATACATAGGTAATTCCCTGTTTTTTTCACTTGATCTTTACCATTTATTGCCGTTTAATTGCACATTTTATGTGCCAGACGTTGAATGCAATTTTTCCGACAATTTTGCGTTTTGTTTTTCTTTTTTGATTATTTTCGGCGAGCGCATTCCATTGGCATCACTCATTCACTTTGGCACAAAATTGGAGCCTGTGCTCCCGCAGATTACTCCCGTTGGCCAGTGTGACCAGCTGGCATCAAGGGCTCCAATCAGGGTTAACGATTTTCCGGGAGCGAGTTTGAATCTATTGGCGCCAGATAAGGAAATGCCCCGAATTCTTATAAGAAACGTACAATTGGATAATTGTTTTGTGTACAAATAATTACAATTTTTATTTAAATTAAATCGAAATATATTAATACCAAATAACTTGTCAATGTAAAGCAAATATTTAAAAATATTTATAAAATTATTGATTATGTATAATTTTTACATATGCATAATATGCAGTTTGCAATAAAAGAAAACTTAAACACTTTTTAGCGAAATTATTCAATGCGCCTGGCTGGAATATTCTTAAACCACCTCTTGCGACAAAAAGAGCACCTGAGGCTTGTAGCCTTGTCTTCTTCATTATCATTGGAGACTGGAAGCCTTTCGTACTGACCATTCATCGATTCCTGATCTCCAAATCCTTCTTGATTATTATTGTACCATTGTTGTCCTCCATTTAACCTTCTGTTTTTATCGTCTTGGCCAACAAACGTACGCCTTTCGTTTTGGAACTGATCGATTTGGGAACCTCTTTCTCCAAATACTTGGGCATTACGGATTTCTACTCTTCCATCATAACCTCCGATCTGAGGATACTGACGTTCATCATTATTAAATCTTGTTTGTCTTGAATCACTGAATGTTTGTCGTAGGCCATTTTGACCACCTTGATTGGAATCTTGAACGCGATTTACTCCTAATCCTAATCCTGCATGTTTATTAGCGTTTTGGGAATACGGAACGCTCTGCACTTCATGAACTTCTTCATTGTTGAAACCTGTATATCTTGATGTTTGTCGTCGGCCATTGAAACCTTCATATTGACCAGCATGATTGGAATATTGAACGGCATTTACTCTTAAACCTTCATTTTGACGTACGCTCTGGATATATGGAACACTTTCCACTTTCTGGCCTTCTTGATAATGGAATCCTACAAGTCTTGGATCATCGTACTGGTAATCTTGATTGCCATATACTCTGGATTGTCCTCTACTCTTGAAGCTTGAACTGCCATATTCTTCCTGACCACCAATTTGGCCTCCACTTTGAAAGCCCGAATGTTCTCCATTCAAGCCACCGTTAGGACTTCCATGACTATCGCGAATACCATTGTTATAATATTCAAAAGGATTGGCTAATACAGTCCCCAGCAGGGTGAACAAAATAATCTAAACGAAAAAATAAGAAATTAAAAAGATATTTTGTAAACTTATTTCCTTACTCACCGGTAACTTCATATTGCTGTGTATTTTCTAACTAAAACCACACATTCGGATTATTTAAAACAAAAGAAAATATATATATATATATTCGTATTAGTGTTGCCCTATCACACCGGAATATACCAAATGATCTTCCAGACAGAAAGCGCGACCGTCTTTACTCGAAGTACGACAGGAACTGCTGTACGGAAATGAGAATAATATTGCTCGCAGAGTAAGAGAATATAGTGTTATCAGTAGAGTAGTATTCAAACGCTAAATGGAAGAATTTCCTACCCTGTAATAAACATAAAGTTTTTATAATTGTCAGTTTTTAAAGTGATCCAAATTAGAAGGATTTTAAAAGATTAAAATTGTGGAATGTGATATAGATGGCGATATATCAAAAAATTTACATCAGATTTGAAAATGTATTACTCATATAGAAGTTAAAACTAATCATAATCTTCTTTCTTATAATTGTTATTATTTATGCCATTTTGAATGAAACCTTTTATGACTTAAGAATTCCTCACATTCTGGGAATTTGATAATTTAATCTGTTGGGCATTCCCAAGCATAAGAAAAAAACCCACCAAAATGGTTCTCATCATTACTCACACTTACCCATAATTGTAGTCTGATGAAATATCTGCGGACCAGGGCTATTTTTTCTTTTCTGTCTCAATGTTTCTTATGAGGATAACATAACACTTAAAAAGCATTAAAACAATTTTCTTTTGTGCCATAAATCATAATTTTTAATTAAATTAAACTTCATTAAACTAAATTTCATGTAAATTGTGTATATGTATGTATGTAATATGTAGGTATTACATTAAAGAGAATTATATAATTGTAACAATTTCAACACAAGACTTGATCTTTGAGATGTTGATTGCAATAAAAGCAAAAATGTGTTATGAAAATGTTATATGAAATAAAACAAACGCTTTTCAGTGAAATTATTTGTTCGCGCGCTCAACATCAACATTCTTGATCTTTTTTGAGCTGCAAAAAGAGCACCTTTCGGAATTTTTAGTGTCATTGGAGCCTGGACCTTTGTTTTGATCCCTTTGCGGGCTAAGGTCTATTTTAGGTCCTTCATTATTGAATCCACTTTGATTGGGATTACTTGATGGTTGTCGTCTGCCATCGAAAAATTCATTTCTACCACCTTGATTGGAATCCTGAGCGCGACTTACTCCTAATCCCACGGTTTGATGAGCGTTTTGGGAATACGCAACGCTGAGCACACTCTGACCTCCTTCATTATTGGATCCTGTTTGTCTTGAATAACTTGATGTTTGTCGTCGGCCATTAAAAACACCACCTTGATTGGCTTGATCTTGAGCGCGATTAACTTCTAATCCGGCGTTTTGGGAGTACTGAACGCTATGCACTCTCTGACCTCTTGAATCAATTGATGTTTGTCGTCGGCCATTGAAAACATCAGTTCTATCCCCGTGAGAAATGGCTAGTACAGTGACTACCACGGTAAATAAAACAATCTAAACAAGAAATCAAGTAATTGTAAAGTCATTATTTAAACTTATTGGCTTTTTACCAGTAATTGCATGTTGGTTAATATTCTGCAACTAAAGCCAGATAATCGAATTAATTGGAATAAAAAAAAATGTATATATTAATTTCGGCTTATCAGCTTCGAATAGACAAAAATAACTTCTTCTTCGAGACAAAAAATACGACCGCCTTTGCACAAAGAAGAGCAATAACTAATTTTCGGCAATGAGAACACTCAGTCAGTCTGACACCAAAATTGAAGCCTGGGCTTTCGCAGATAACTTCCGTTGGTCAGTGTGACCAGCTGGAATCAAGGTATTCAAATATGTTAATACCGGTTTTCCGGTAGCGAGTTTGAATTTGTTGGCGCCAGATAAGAAAATGCCTAAAATTCTTTTATTAAGAGTTTCATGTATAAAAACTATAATAATTAAATCGAATATTTTACTTCAAATAACTTATCAATTGAGTACAAAAATATTTATGAAAATATTTATGAAAATATTTATAATATATATTATTTACATGTACCAATAAACGCTGAGTTTTAGTGAAATTCCTTTAGGCCACCAAATTGTCTTCCACTTTGTTCACCATTGTAGCCGCCGTTAGAACTTCCATGATTATCGCGAAAACCATTGTAATAATATTCTTAAGAACTGGCTAATAAAGTCCCCAGCAGGGTAAACAATATAATCTAAGCGAAAAAACAAGAAACTAAAAGATATATTGTAAAATTTTCTTACTCACCGGTAACTTTATATTGTTTTCAATTTTCTAACTAAAGCCAGACATTCGAATTATTTGAAACAAAAGAATATATATATATATATGTATATCTTCCAGACAGAAAGCACAACCACCAAAGCTTGAACTCGAACAGGAACTGATTTTTGGAAATGAGAATATTCTAACTCGAAGAGTAAGAGGGTATATTGTTATTAGTTGAGTAGTATTCAATTGGTAAATGTAAAAAATTTCCGAACTTTTAATATACAAATTAGTTTATTATTTATGAAGATTTTAAGAAATAAAGTTTGTGAAATGTGATATAGATGGCGATATACCAAAATTTACATCGTCATATAAAGTTATAGAATATCATATTAATTGGTATACGAAGTAACAGGTATAGAAGTAACAATGTCGCGACATTGGACTATTTTGTTATCGCGGCTTTTCTTATTGCTCTTTAATGTTAAATATGTAGATTTGTATGTGCATGAACACAATTGAGAGTGGAGCGATGATTACCATGACTACAAATTCTAAATTTTAAATCAATGACAAACAAAAATTTTATTGATTGCATGATTTTTTTTACTATTTCCGTAAGCTCAAGCTTTATTTATGGAAATACCCAAAGTTAATGATATTGAAAAATGTATTATTACTGATAATTTAAATTGTGGGGTATTTCCAAACATAACTTAGATTCTGAAATTCCAAAAGCATGCGTTTCGGCTACATTTTACCAAAAGAGTCCTTATCTTTACATACCCAGTATTGCAGTTTGAAAAAATTAGTTAAGTATTTTGATATTTCATTTATTCTGGGTATTCCGAAGCTTAAATCATATGCTAAAAATGAAGTATGTGCTTCGTGAGAATGTAAGTAAGCTAACATTTCTAATAAATAGTACAGTATTGTATTCTGACGAAATATCTATGAGACTAGAACTTTTTAAGCCAGTCGCCAAAAAATTTGTCTGTCGAAAATTTTGCCCATTGGTGGAATTATCTGTTAACCGCAAATTGGTAACACTGATAAAGATATACTATTCTATTCTAATTTTACATAACCTAGCGGCAAGAAGCGGTACTTCTGTCATGCTATCCATGTAAAATGATTTGATTTGAAAATGATTTCTAGCGTTGGGTTTCTGAACTATAGTCGTAAAATCAGTGCTGCCAGATAGTAATTTTATAAATGAGTTGACAGACCCGTGAAAAAAAGAAAATCATATTTTTCATTGATTAAGAGGCATTTTTTTTTAATTTTTCCAATTTTCAGACAACATTTTGAACAACGTTTAGAGTCCATTAACTGTTTAAGGTTCTATGTCAAAATATTGAAAAATGATGATTAATAAAAAGAAGAAGCATTTTAAAATTTAATCTCAAAATGAGTCTTTTTGGCTCAGGAAGTGAACTCTGTGGAAGGTTTTCGGGTTAGCTGATAAGCTAAGTGATGAGAGCTTTTGTTTTTAAATATAATATTTTTATGTTTATAAAATTTTAAAAGATATATTATTTTAATTTAAAGCGATCTTAAATAATGCAACCAATTACCAAATTAACTTAACTTAAAATAAGTTAAATAAAACGTATTTTCCGCAGTATTTTTATTAGTTGGGAATATTTATTGAAGGATTATAGTTTACGTGTTTTTTAGAATATGAATAGGAATAATTTGAATAGAAAATTACATGTATTTTGGCGAAAACTGTATTTATAAAATCATCTAATTAAACTATAAATTTTAATATATTAAAATATAAAAATCAGTTCAGTCATTTAAGCTGAAACACTGTAAAGATTTTTTTCTGTGCATATGAATCATCAATCCAATCGATTCCAAATCTAAACTAAACAACAGAAGTTAGTTCAGAGTTCAGATTAAATATGAATTTATGTCCGAATTTGGTATAAAAAGAACGCAATTTCATAATCTTCTTCATTTCGAAAATGTTGCTCAACCTTAAACTTCTGGTAAGTCTAGCAATGGAAGATGAAACGTAATTAACTGGATTTATCTATAGATTCTGCTTTTTGCATTGCTGGTCGCTGTTTCGGCCAAACCACAGCGTTGGGGTGTGTGGGATTGGGAAAAACCGGGCTGTTTTGGAAGTGGAAGACGACACACACACCGCAGTCAAGCACTGCCCAAATATACACCCAACCTTCTTCACACCCCAGGTCCACACATCCCAGCTACACCAGATCCTCCAATTTGGAAGGTATCATAATAAAAGCTACCATATAGCATATTTGTATGGTATTCAAATATATATTGACCTTAGGTTTGATTCAATTGACTAAATAAAATGTTGATTACCAGAATGCCAAAAATAAAATGTAATTAACCGAACGAAAATTTTAATACACATAAATTTAATAGTACGCTAGTACGTTTAACTAAAATTTTAGCTGCAGCATTGTCAATATTTTTTTCTAAATAAATAAATAACTCATTGCCAAATCTAAACTGAACAACAACATAAGATAGTTCAGAGGTCAGGTTTTATTATCAGTAATTTTGATTGCGGATTTGGTATAAAAGGGGCCCAGTCTTAAAACCGCCCTCAATTCGAAAATGTTGCTTAGCCTGAAACTACTGGTAAGTTGAGAAATAGAAGTAGTAACCTTGACTGTAATTGACTTGATTTATTCTTTAGATTCTGCTTTTCGCATTGCTGGTCGCGGTTTCGGCCAGTCGAAAGCTTTGGAATCCCAATAGAAGTACAGATCATCCGCGCCGGTTTCCACTGCCAAAACCACGCCCACATTACACGTACCGCCACCTACCACCCCGCAGAGATGTGATTTATTAAAAAGTAAGGACATTTTTTCCCGGGCAACCTAATTTTGATTTTGGTTTTTGTCTCATTATGCTAAGATTGTGAGAGGCCTAAATTTTCGGTGATATTTTACTCTCAATAAATGAATTAAAAACCACAACCATTTAACATTCAAGACACAAAAACATATTTATTTAAATTTGTTGTAACTTAAAGCCCGAGTTAACTAGTTCTTATACATGTCGCAGAGCACCTTCTCCATGGGCGTGTTGCCAATCGTACGCTGAAAGTAGATGGACTCGATCTTATGAGAGCTGATTATGCGCAGCAGCGGCAACATGAGAAGGAGTCGTCCGAATCTGGCGATCTGGGCCGTGAACTGCGTTTTCGTGTGCTGTGACAGCATGACCTAGTAAAGCAAAATAAACAGTTAACCAGATCACAAGCTATATCCTTTATCATACATACATGGGCCTGATCCTGGAGGTTCTCAATCTGTGCCGGATCCTTCAGTCCACGGGTCTCCGGTCGGAACAAAACTATCGCCTTGAGGCAAGCAAACTCTGCAGGATCAACCAGCACCGCCTTGTATTTGCAGAAGATCTCGTGGAGCGTTCGCACATCCGCCGCAAGCTATCAGAAATATTAATGATTAATTGGATATAGGAAAAGGATAGGGACATGACTTACCTCTTCCTTGGTTATGCAAGTGTCTCCATTGGCGTTGTTCTCCAGATTATTGCAGTGCTCCGCCACTGAAAAGAGCGCACAGCCAGTAGGATCCAAGGGGATGCACCATTGGATGGCATTCAGCAGGAAGAGCTCTGACCAAGACTCCTCCAGCAGAATGACCTGGAAGGTAGAAGGGATTTTATAAGATTTAATTAACTTTAACTGAATTATATTTTCACTCACCTGATCCCTAAAGGAAAGACGGGCAAAACTGGGCAGGTTCTTGGCCCACTTGACGGCCATGAAGAGCAGTCGGGCACTCGTCTCATAGACCGTCTCGTGCTGATGGGCATATAGATTGGGCGACATGAACTGTGGCATGATGAAGCTGGAATCCGATCTGCTGACCGTGTGTGGCTCCTCGTTGTCATTGGTTACATCTATGGAGTCATCTGCCATGGGTATAAAAGATGGATTAGCATTAATATGGAGTTATAAGTTATCAGTACCCACCATCATTGTCATTTTCCATAGTGGGACTGGAGGAGCTAATGGAGGACACGCTTCCGCCGGCATTGTTTTTCTCTTTGGCATTTTCCGGCGCCGGTGAACTCGGATCGATGGAATGATTGCTGCTCGAATTGGTCGAGTGTGAGACATTGCCACTGCTGGCCATCTCCATGCCATAGGCCTTCTCCTTGGGCGAATTATGTACTCCGGCGGGATTGAACATGGGAAAACTGCCAGCGCCCATGTGATTTGCCGCCAATTGCATGGAGGAGGTGAGGTGGTTGTGATGCAGCAGTCGTCCCGTCGGCAGGCTGCCCAATGCTGTTCAAGGATCAAAACAAAAGGCCATAAGTTACATCCTTAAACTATGTGCTTAGCAGCTGGAGGGCAGTAAATACTCACACGGCGGTGGCAGGAGTCCGGAGCCATAGCAGGGAGGCGACAGTAGCACGGGTGGTCTGCAAATTGGAGTTGCCCGCAGATTTTGGGCGGTTAGATAGAGTTATGCAAATGACAGCCCAGCCACACCAAATACACTCAGAAAATTTTTAGTTTATGATAAATATTATCTTTATAACTCTAGTACTTTACAAAAATCAAATCAAAAGGAAAAGTTTTTCCTATTTTGAAAATTAATATATTAAATTACTTTACTTTAGTTCAAAATTAATTTAGAATTTTTCTGAGTGCATCAGCAGATACACTTACCCAAAAACCCCGACGGCCACGGCGGCCTCTCGCAGCGCCCGCCCGTGTTCCATCTCCCGCAGTGTCTCCGGCCGTATAGTGGCCGTGTTGCGGGGCTGTCGCTCATTTTGCACGGCTGTAATTGGAAAACAAATGCAACTAACATGAGCACTCAGAATCTAGTTGTTCCCGGCATTTTGGACGCGTCCGTAATGAGGAAATGTCACACTGACAAAATCGCTTCGAGGCGTGTACAGGTATCCCAGGACCATACAGAATGACGCGTGTGCCTCGGCCTAAGTTCATTCTCTCTCTCATCAGCATATGGATTTGGCCCGGTCTGAAGGGGAAAACAAGGCCATCCATTTGATGGCAAATTGGTTTTGTGGTCACGTGCCGCTCACGCCCACAAATTGTTTCGCCATTTGTTTATGCAATTTCACCGCACAATGAGCCTCGGCCACAAAAGCTACTTCGCCGCTAATGGCGGATCCGCAAACTGTGGCTGTTTTCCATACGGCTAGCATAATTTACGGGTAAATTAAAGGATCCATAATTGAGTCGGGTGTGAATCGGTCCCTTGGGAGAATGTGTGTACTATTATGCTATATAATTGATGTGAAAGTCAGGACTTGAATGTGAACCAGGAGGTTGCATCTTTTGCAGTTTTAAGTTTTTTAGCTTATCGCTCTTATTGTTAGAAGGGTTAAGTGGTCACCTTAAGATATATAATATAGTTTTTAGAGCTATCTATATATCAAATAGATCAATACTGTAACGCAGTAGCTCAGTAACTAGTAAGGATCCCTTTTAAACACCTGAAATATGTTTTTTCTCCTTCAAAAATACCTTCTGATGACTCACAAAGAACAACCAGGAGAGTACAATATATACCTATTGATTTTGTAAACCTGAAACTGAAACTGACTGACGACTGCTGTTTGTCTATTTGCCATTCAAGAAATCGAACCAATGTTTAACCAAAGTTGCCGCTGCCATCAAAACAATGAGGAAAACTTTCAGTCAAAATGAACAATTGGGGTTCAGTGAAGTGGCAGCGGTAAAGCTGCATAAAATCTGTCAAAGACAACACAACCAGCAGGTAACAAATCAATTGGGTGAGCAATATGTAAATAAGGAGCAACCTTCACCCCCACGGGAGGTTAAGAGAGCCACCCCCAAACAGGAGGATGCTCTTTAGAAGGAATTTATTTAGTGTGCGTGGGAAGGGGTTAAAGTGCTGATGGAAAGGAGACACGTGTAAGGGAACCTTTTGAGGTCCTGTTAAAGACCAATTAAACGTGCTTCAGTTCATTAGAGCGAGTTGAGGGAGATATGATAATGCATTTTAGGCTAATACCCACCATCCTTGTTCATTCCCATTTGAAGGCACTTCTTGAGCCTGCAGGCCTGGCATTGATTCCGATGGGCTTTGTCCACCACACACCGTCCAGTTCCCGCCTGGCAGCTGCAAATACAATTCAGAATCGATTAAAATAGTGCTAGGATATAATCAAGTTATCCAGCTACATCTAATGAGATTTTTTGTCATGTCAAAAATTGCAACATTTGTGGAATTTGGTAGCGAAACGACAGCAACAAAGCAACAGACTATGGCCAACCGAGCGGAAATCCAGCCACAAAAGCACTTCAAAATCTGCTAGATACAGCAGGACCTGCTACTGCTCATCGACCTCTCTCTCTCTCTCTCTCTGTCTCCTTTGTCCTTTCGCCGCTGCCCTTGTGGAACTTTAATCAAATCAGGGCTGAGTGGTGTACATCCCATCCCATCCTCCCACTCAAATCCAGTTCATGGAACCATTTTTAGCCCAGTCATCGCTTCGCCTGCCTTTTTGCACACTAAGCCTGCGCCAAAACTCAAAGATGGCCAACGCTCCTAGGATCTCTGGCCGTCCATTTCGTTTCCATTTTATGTACTTCATGGCGCCTTGACTCAAATCACTTAGCCAAATGTATCCTTGAGATACAGTCTCCTATATATATATATATATGTAATTGAGGTATTTTGTGTATGCAAATGTCCGGCTTTCGTAAACAAATCAAATAGATTGGATATGTGTGAATGGCTATGTATTCCTTTTGGGGTGCCAAGTTTTTGTGTGTCTATAAAAATAATCACATAATATTTCCATTGCCCCAACCATTATCAAAAATCCAGGAATAGACGATGAACACATTTTGTGTATACTAAAACTACGGTGGGAAAAGGCAGAAAAGGATACAGGATTTGTGGGAAGGCTTATGATGTTTTAATATTGGTGGATTCTCTTGGATTTGCTTCTTGGTTGTTAGGAAAATATGTGAAATTTTTTATATATTGTATCCTTTTGTACTATATATATATATTATATGTTTTTTAAATATTATTTAGTATTTTTGCTACTAATTGCTACTAATTTTTTAAAGTGTGATATGACGTGGATAAAGTCTTTAATTGTCAATTAATCTTGTTTTAGTTTATGTAACTTGGCTTGAAGTTAGATATTATATTTTTTTTTTAATATTAATATTTGTTAAATATAATAATATATTAACTAATAAGTAAGTTACCAAGTTAAAAGAAGATGCAGTAAAAAAATATATTTTAGATTTCTATTCAAAATGATGATTTATGATTTTTATTAACAAAGCTGACTTCGGCTGACTTCTGTTTATATTATTTAAAAAAATAATTATTATTATCCAATTCTCTTAATTTCTTCTAAATCTTTTCCTCTTAAATAACTTATATTTTCTATCTCTAAAAATGATTAGATGATTCATCCATAATTTTCTTCAGCTATAAAAATAAAAACCTATACCTTTCCATCCTTAGAAAATTCCTTCACCTAAACTCGAAAGTTCTGATTGGAAGCAATTGATTATAATTGAAAATGGCTTAATGGGACAACCGGAAACAAGGATATATACATTTCGTATATACTATAAAAAAGGACCCAGGGACAGATTGACTCTGGCGACCATCGGAAAACAAGTCACGTCGGTGAAAATATACACTAGACCTGTTCCCAGTTCCCTGTTCGACCCGTTCGAATCCCTTTTCGATGTCTGGAGTGTATCCCTCCTGTTTAGTCATTCCTGTGCTGGGGAGGATGTTGCTCTATTTTATCCGCCCTCTTTTTTTGTATTGGACTTTGTTGCTATTTGGCTTAGGCTGTGGGCGAAGATGTCGGTGGGGTGGCGGCGGGTCACATTTGGCCAAGTGTTTTCCGCTTAAGCCTCCCATATCAATCTCATGGGACCGCTCGGCTATATAGAGATTTCGACGTTTGTGATTTACCGCGACTCCTGCAAAGCCGCAAAAGCAAAATATACATTACTGTATCATAACTTTATGCCTTTGCTGGCATTGATTCTGTCGCTTTGGCTTATGGGATATACTTTTTCTTCCTCCTGATTTAATGATAATTGAAAACGTTTTGATTCGGCTTTTTGTCTCTTTTTTCTTTTCTATTTCGAAAATTCCAATGTCAAAGTAAAAAAGTTTTAAGCGAATTCACTTTAAATTCAATTACATTTTAAGCTGCAATTTGAGGGGAGAGAAAGTGAAGTAAAGTAACATTCGCACATGATGCCATTCTGGGCACAAAGTCAACGCGAGGGCAAATATGCGCATTCAAAAGTTGACGCTCAAATCCCAAAGATTTGAATAATTGTAATGAATTTGCCAGAGCTCCGTAATCCGCCAGACGGGCCTCCGGGCACAGAGCAACCCACACCCCAAACGATACCACCCACTTTTGGGCAAATGTTGCAACATCTAATGGAAATGAAATGGTAATGACTGGATTTAGGACCATAGTTAGGGCTACACAGGGGAAAATGCAGAGTGCATTTTGGTGAGACTTGATTTAAAGATAAAAATCTTAAAGCTCTACAGTAGCACTTTTTAATTTTCATTAAAAAAGAAAAGTGGTTTAAAAATGCTTTTTCCCATTATACAAATTGTCATTTCCTTTTGGCAATTTTTTCCAATTTTCTTAACACCTTTTCTTCCTGTGTTTACCCACCGATAAATGAGTTTCCGCCGCACACTGCGCTTGAAGAATCCCGAGCAGCCATTGCAGGCAAGGATTCCGTAGTGCTTTCCAGAGCTAGTATCGCCACACACCACGCAGATGAGGCCCAGATTCTGACCCTTAATCCGGGTCATCGACGAAGACTCGGCCGCTGACGAGTGGTTCATGGAGTTGGCTGCCGCTGCTGCTGCCGCAGCCGCAGCTGCTGCTGCACTGTGATTCCAGCTTAGCAATCGACCAGCAGGCACATTGGATGCGGCGGGATGAGGAGGAGGCTGTTGTGTGGCCGGTGCCACGCCCACGGATGTCGGTGGAGCCGCCTGGCCATGCATAGGCGCCGTCGGTGGTGTATAGCAATGCCGCTGGGGACTGTGGAGCTCTGCAAAAAAATAGATTATATTAGTTTTTGAGTAAACGAATTCTTTGATAAACAAACTTTCTATGTTATTTATATTTAATTTTTTAGTATTGTTTTAAAGCCTACGGGCAATGTGATAAAGTCTACGTAATCCAAAACATCGTAAGACTTTATCTCTCTTAAAAGTGGTAAAATTAAAAATCTTTTGACATTTTTACTACTTTATAAAGATTCACACTTTTTGTTTTTTGAGATCTAAAATTTTATTGATTTTTTGACAAAGTGTAAATCGTTCATCTTTTTCCTTACTTCCAGATTATATAATATATTTTATTACTTTATTTTGTAAAAAAAAGACTGGATCTATATTGTGCAGACAACTTACTTTTTAGTAGAAACTAGGCATTCTAGCCAGCATGAAGATCAACCTAATAACTATATATTTTATTAATATATTATATTATATATATATTATATTTTATTAGTATTTTAAGAAAGCTTTAGCTTATAGATATCTTCAATAATCCAATAATATCATAGATATATATATTTTAATCACTGAAAATATTTCTTCATTTTAAAGAAATCTCAAAGTTTCGAACATATATTTATTCTTTATGTATTTAATAATTTTTGCTGAAGAATAAATTAAAGAGATTCGATGTATTCTTAATTTAGAATCAGTTTCTGTGATAATTCCACAACTTAAGCCGAGATTACCAGAGAGAATACCCCAGAAACATTTCCAAATGATTTATATTTGTACTGCGATCTCATTGAAGCACAAACCGTGTAAAATTTCAAAGCCAATCTTAGATCTATCCTACCAGTGGTAATGGTTCTTGCAATAAAAAATCACTTATGTAGTTCATATAAATTAAATCCCAATTTGTCAGATGTACCGGATTGTGGAAACCAAGGGGAGTAGAACCAGGGACCTGCCGATCTTATCCTTGCGTGGCGACATTGACGCCCTGTAATCCGCAAATATATTTACACATTCAATTAGGGTGCCATTAAGCCAAACGGCTCTCGACCTCGGCCAGAGTGTGCCGTAGCAATCTGTGCGCAAAATTTGCCTCGGGGGACGATTGTTTTGCCATCACACCCTAATTTGATTGTAGTTTCCTTACTGATTTTTTGATGCACTTAACCCTGGACGAGCCCAAGGACGAGGACACATTTGTTACACTCGCCACTTGGCTGTGCGCTCGACCATTCGGGTTCGTGGGTTCATGGTTCTGGTTTTTGAATTGAAAGACAGGAAAGTCAGGATGTGGCTAAGCCCGGGACCAACTGGCAGGACTGCGGTCTAATGCCAGAGGATTAGCGTCATATGCTTGCATTTTCCGGAGCTCTCCGTCTTTGTTAATTTTATGAGCTCGTTGAAATTCACTTTGGCCTACTACGGCTACTACTCCTGCCGAAACCCACACACAAAAGTGTTAAGGGCTGTGTTATGAATTTCTGAAATTTTTGGCAGCCTGACTCTTCGAAGTCTAATTCAATTTGGTGATTATCGCAAATTGAATTTGCTCGGCTACTCGTGCATGCCATCAGAAAGTTGGGCATCGATTTAATTCGAGTGTCTCCGCAGACAACTCGTTGCTATAAATTGGTAATTGAAATTGGAAATGTGTTATTAGAAGAGTGAAGTCTAATACGTTTGTTGTTTCTTTCTTTTCTTGCTGGTATTAAGCCATTGAGTCTTTGGGTCTCATGAATCCATACATCTTAATGAAATCAACTTTAATGTTGTTAAAATAAGCACAATAATCTTAAATAGAATACGTTTTCTTTAAAAAAGTAACGAAATTGCTTATAGATTTTAGTTTTTTCAGGTATCAATGAAGGCATCTTTTAAGGTAAAATAAAAAAAGTTCATCACATAATCTATTGCCTACTTAAGGGGATAAGATACATTTTCCTAAAAAAACGAAAATGTTGCTATCAATATTAATTCCAATAATATGGAAAATATTTTATTAAAATTGAAAAGAGTTTCTGATTAAAAATCATACATAAAGGAATAAAGTAATTTTTTCCGTCGGTTTAAATAGTCCACAAAATTTAAGATTTCAAATAAAGAAATAGAAATCGTCAGAAAGCTGGCATTTTATTTTGTCAAGGAAAGGATTCTCGTTAATTACAATCTCTGCTTCTTACACGTTATTTTTTTTTCGAAGTACCCTTTTTTATTGTTTTTTTTCCAACGTGACCTAATTAATCATGGGTCTAAGGAACACGCAAAAACGAATAATTATGTTTTTCGCGCAATTTGCCCGGAAACGTGATAATGTCCTTATTTTTTACGGAACTTTAAACCTATTTTTGTTGCTAGAAAAAGTCTTTCTACACACTTTTCAAACTTGGGTTATTTTAAGAAAATAAATATATTAGTAGTAGAGTTTCACTTCATATAATTTTCAAACAATTTTTTCCATTCTCATGTTCATCTCTTAACTTTTAATTTACCTTGCGATGATGGGCGTGTTTCGGAGGAATTTTCTTCTTTATTCATTTTAAGAAATTATGTAATTTTGATTAGCACGGCTTATTAAGGTTCTTTAAAAATCACTCTTTTCCAAATTTTTGTTAGAAACACCACTTTTTAAAACACACTTTTCGAGGATATCACAGGATAAAGCTCCATAATTATATGCAACCGTAGAGAGGCGACGGCAAGTGGAGTATCCTGCGATTCCCGCTGATAATGAAACCGAACCAATCCGATCCGACGGCGCTGCGAATGTGCGGCGATGATGATGTTAACGTCTCGATGTACGATTTCAGATTCCGGATTTCAGATTTATCATAAAAGCGTGACAGGAGCTAAACAGTGATGTGTCCACTCCAACAGTCGGCCAACCAGCCAACGGGCCAACCCCGGACTAGGAAAAAAACCATATCGCTGGATATAATCCGCGGTCGCTGAGTGGGCAGAGGAGTATATCTCTGTGTATATGTATGAGGACAAAAAGCACAGCACAGGACACACACACACCACCACCAGCAAGAGCAGAGAGCATCGAGCATCGAGCATCGAGCAGCGAGCAGCCAGCAAGGAGCAGCGAACGAAGGATAACCGCACACTAACACCACCCAACCACCCACCAACGGAGACTTTTAGTGGCAACTCTGGTGGCGCATTTGCTTGTTGGCTTGCTTTGATTCGTTCCTTCTTGATGCTGCGGCAGGACCAAGTCCTTGCTGTTAGTATACGTGTGAGTGTGTGTGTGGGTAAGCCAAGCCACAATCGCAATCTCCAATAAACACCCGGCTCTGCGCTCTCTGCGCACACACACAAGCATACAAGACACTCCAAAGAGCAGAGAACGTATACGTTCGTTCGGTCGCCATCATGGCGAAATGTTTGGAGATGGGGTCACGGAACTAGAAGAGAGAGGAAGTAGAAGTGGAAGTGGAGCAGAGCAATGGTGGCTCCATGGATGACGCAGCTGCGCGACTGGCGCTCGTATAATCGTCTTGGGTTTTGACATTTTGTTTTTGTTTTATAATACCCATTGTGATGTCGGCGCTTTCGAGTTTGTTCTGGCCTTCTGCTTCATCTTCCCCTAGCCCCTTCTCTTTTGACCCTCTGCCAACGACGTCACTCTTGGCCTCGTCTTCTAACCAACCTTCTAAAGCTTCCTCCATTCCCCCATTTCCCACCCACAATTGCCACCTTCCAGTTAACTGTAATTGAATTGAAGAGAAAATTGTTTTTTCTTGTTGCTCTGTGGGTGTATGTGTATCTGCATAAAGTAGAACTAAAAGTACATATAAGCTAAGGGGATACAAAACCACAATAAGATACAAAAGGTAAAAAAAGATTTAAATCTGTTTTTTTTATATATAAAAAAAAGACATCCTAAAGCAAGAGATGTTTGGAGACATCTTCTTAGTTTATAAAAATAAGTTAACATTAATTTCACAAATATTTTTTAGTCATTTTATCTTAGATTTATTCTTTGTTCTTGTCATTGTACTTTTTAATAAACTTTTTTATATTAAAACTTTCTATGATAAATCATAATTATTATTTAAATACAAAGATAATTTATGAATGAATTTTTTATTTTCTTTAGAAAGACAGCACAGTAAAAGTTCAGCATTGTAAGAATTTTTAAATGTATTTATTACGAATTTTAATTCTAAAAACTGAACTTCATCCTACAGTTTTTGTTAGTCTTGGTCTATCCTTATAAATCTTTTTATTTACTCTTTTAATATCATAATGTTATAAATTTAACCAAAAAGCAGCGTTATTCAAGACTTCTAGAAAAGAGAGTAGGAAAGGTGCTCCCTGGTCCACTAATCCAATAATCGATAAATGTTGCCAGCAGAAATGGGTGGTAAATGGGTGGCTTGGTGTTGGGGGCCCGGTTACGCTCCTCGATTTTGTTGTGGGGCTTTTGCCATGCTTAATGCGCCGACATTAACTTTGTAACAAATGAGATGTCGGAATACAACAGTCAGGATCCTGGCAAGCCACAGCCCCTCCTCTCGCTCTCTCCTTCGGTTCTTGGCTCCTTTCTCCGCTACTTTATCCAATCTCAATCTTTCTCTCTCTCTCTCTCTCTCTCCCTTTCTCTTTTGTATGGGAAAGCAAGAGAAGTTTATGCTCGGGACAAAAGTGAACAAATGCAAAAGTCAAAGCGCTTTGCCGCCATGGCCACGCCCATAACGTCGAGGGAGGAGCGAGAAAGAGAGGCAGTTAAAGAGAGAAGAAGACAGAGAGACCGAGAGAGTGAAATAGCGGCGTTATCCTGTAATAGCTATGCATCAAGGATAACCAGCTGTGCAAGCGAGAGAGCTGACCCTGTGCGAGAGAGACAAACAGAGGCGACAGGGTTGGTTCTTGACATTTGAACGGCGACATTTCGCATTGCCAGGATACATACACGAATACACCCACACCTACAAATCTCTGCCCACAAATCCCACCCACAGAACGACTCTGGGTGGCGAACCTCATCAAGTGCAGTGCACTTTATTTAATCAATCAAAATTCATGGACTGTCTCGTTTATTCAACATTCAGACACTTTGTATCTTTGATTTACGTTCCGCTGAAGCATAATTGTAGTATCCTTATTTGAGATTTTACTTTATCATCAAAGATATTATATCTTTATACTAAATTTGTATATTTATTTGTCTGTTATAGTTGTCTTTATTTATATGAATTAGTAAATATGCTTTGTTTGGCAGCTCAATGAATGCTTAACTTACTTTTCTTATCAATCGAAAATATATATATTTGTACAAAACACACCGACATACATTATATAATATATAAGATTGACTAATCTTCCATAAATTCAACCACCTACTACCAATCCACGAATGCCATGCCACTATTATTTTATTTACAACTTAACTCTTTTTTTTATAAATAAAATAAAAAGTTTAATCTTGAGAAATAAAATGGAATTTAAAGTCTTCTAAAAAGTTTGCAATCATGCCAAATATATTTATAGAATGTAAGCTTGTTTCTTTAATCTGCGACAAACATTTTGTGTTTTGTTTTATTTTCAACTACGCATTGACCTCTGGCGCTATCAAAATTTCGGGTTTTTCCATAGGGTAATCACTTTTTGAATGGGAATATATACAAGGAAGGTTCATTTATGCAGATTAAATTATTTCCTAGGATAAAAAAACCTTCAAACTCAAAGCGACTTTCTGTTTAAAAGGGCATGTTGACGGAAAAATGCAGGAAATCAAAACTTGCTAACAGGTAACACAAAGTCGAAACCTAATACTGACTAATTTTAAGCAGCTTGGCTATAAAAGAAGCCCGCTTTTTGGCTTCGACTACAGTTTAAAAATAAAAATCAACATGAAAATCTTGGTGGGTACTTTAAAAACGGACAAAAGGAATCCTTTTTAATCTGCAATCTTTAACATATTTCACATTTTAGTTGGTGACTTTCGCCTTGGTGGGTGCTTCTCTGGCTAGACCTGGATACGATGGAGCATTGGCTGAAAAAGGATTAGGCGGGCCCGGTACCCAGGTCGGTCTGGGCGGATATGGCGCACCCGTTTCGCAAATTGGACAGGGAGGTTATGGAGGCGCACAAAAAGGATATGGCGCATCCGTTCCCGAAAAGTTACCGCTGCCCGGTTCAGTCCTGCAAAGTACACAAGGAGGATATGGTGGGGGACAAGGAGGATATGGCGGTGGACAAGGAGGGTATGGTGCATCCTTTCCCGAAAAGTTACAGGTAGGAAATGGCGGATCCGTACGTCCAGGTGCTCAAGCTGAATACGGCAGCGGACAAGGAGGATATGGCGCTTCTATTGCCCAAAAAGATCAGGAAGGATTTATCGGATCCGGGGCCCAAGGTACTCAGGGAGGATATGCCGGCGGACAGAGAGGGTATGGCGGTGGACAAGGTGGATATGGCGCTTCTGTTCCCCAGAAAGGACAGGTTGGACTGATCGGATCTGAGGTCCAAAGGTATCCAGGGGGATACGGTGGCGGACAAGGAGGATACGGTGGGGGACAAGGAGGATACGGCGGCGGACAACGAGGATACGGTGGCGGACAAGGAGGATATAGCGGTGGACAAGGAGGACCAATACCTCAGATCGACCAGAACCAGGAGTTTGGCGCCGAAGAACGCTGGGAGGTCATTAGTTGTGAATTGCCTAATCCTCATTATCACAACGATCACGAACATCATGAACATCATGATCATCATGAACACCATCATAGACGCTACTAAACAGTCTATTTATAAAATCACATAAAAAGGGTAATAAAAAACAAAAAAAACTTTTCCCAATTCGCATGTATAATATCTTTCTAAATAAATCATAAACTGTATTTAAACTTAACTTTTTTCTCAGCCTAAACAAAAGTTAGAAAAACCAATAAAATTTCAGCAATATATATAAAATGTATATATAAAAACTATGGTTTTTAGAATAAATTGTCAAAACTATAAATGGGAATTCACAAACTAAGTCAACAAACCTATAAAAATTAAATAAAATTTTTGGCTTTGGAACTCAAGTTTAGTGTGTTTCATAGTTGGCTGATAAGCTAAGTGGACTAAGTTCAGAGCTTTTCCATGTATTTTTGATGTTATTTACTCTTCTATATATACGAGTATGCATACATATAAAGACATTTGATGTTAACAAACAGTCTATTAAAAATGAAGTTTAATATATAACACTAAAGTTAATATAAAGGTTTTATGGTGACTGCAAGCTGAATTCCTTCAGTTTGATATTACAAGTTATATAAGGAAGATTTGCGTTTTAAAATCGCTATAAAAATTTCAATATTTCCCAATTTTCATGGAGCGTAAACTTAACCATTTCGTAAACCGCAAACCTTCTACTAAATATCTGACACATTGACAATGACATCCGAAAGGTCAAAATCAATATTATCGATAGTTCAAAAAGAAAACGCTACATGGGCCACCCTGTGTCTAGATTTTTTGGATTTTTGACATTTTTTTTTCAATTTGAGAATATTTGTTGAAGGATTATAATGTAATATAATATATATATAATACAAGTATGCCGTAAACTCTTTTACAGCCAGGACGTCTATTAACAGAAAACATTTATCATTTTCTATATAAATGAAATTTAAATTCTGCATCTAAAGCAATTTAATAAAAATTATAATAATAAGCAATGAAATCTATTGAAAAATTTTAGCTGCAGCGTTGCCAAGAAAACTTTTTCTGGGCTGACTCATTCCTTATTAAGCAACGGTAGAGTTCAAAATTCAGATAAATATACCTCTTCTTCATTATTAAAAATTTTGCTCAACATTAAACTTCTGGTAAGTTAAGCAATGGATGGGGTAACCTTGACTATAATTTACCTGATTTATCCTTAAGATTTTGCTTGTTAGGTTTCTAGTCGCTGTTTCGGGCAGTCCAGATGGGTTCTATAAAAAAAGGATACCGTAACTCAGCACCAAACAGCTAGAACCCCCAGTAGAGAGCATTGCTTATAACATGTAATAAAATTAAATAGGTACTGACCTTATATTTGATTATATTAAAGAAATAAATAAAAATCAATTTGTTATTACATTACCATTTTTAAGACTTCTAACCAAACATTAAAAACCTTTTAGCTGTACCATTTTTCATCCTTTCTGTGCAGATGACTCATTGCCAGATCTAAACTAAAAAACAACAGAATTTAGTTCAGAGTTCAGATTTAATTATCAACAATTTAGATTGCACTTTTGTTATAAAATGATTGCAATTTTATAATAATCTTCATGTTCATGTAAAATATAATACTTTATGAGCTCTGTGCGTGTCATGTGACAGTTGTAAATCGATCTAGAGCCATAAACTATGATCTGTAATTGTATACCCTACAGGGGAGCGGTGCTAGCACTTGTAATCTGTAAGTGCAGGCCACTTGAGCCAAACCGAAGATAATCACTTGAGATGCTTCTCACACTGCGCCAAAGGTTCCTGTGCGGGGGTCAAATGATAACTCTTCCAGGCAGACGCGGCCTCTGCGTAGGCCACAGATAAGACCAGAATAAGAATTTCATGTTAGTTTCCTAAGCAGGGACTTAGAAAATAAAATTTAGTTTTAATACAGAACTCAACGGAAAAGGTTGTTTTATTAATTCATCCCTTTCACTTCATTTGGAAAATGTTGCTTCACCCGAAACTGCTGGTAGGTTGACCAATGGAAGGAATTACCTTGACTCTAATTGACTTGCCCTTTAGATTCTACTTCTAGCATTGCTGCTCGCTGTTTCGGCCAGTCCACGGCGTTTCGGTAGGAATCGGGATAAGCCGGGCTGTCTTGGAAGTGGAAGACCAAGTGTATTGAAAAAGGGACCATGGTCAACGCACACTCACCGCAGCCAAGCATCCTCCAGCTACAAACCCCAGTAGTGCATAATATGAGCATTGAATTCGAAGCATGTTATGGTATTCAAATATATATTGACCTTATTTTCGATTCAATTAAATAAATAAAAGGTAGATCAAATGGCCACAATTCCAAAAATAAAGTGCAATTAAACATAAATTCCAACACACACAAAGCAAATACTAAGATTTAAGATTTCTAACTAAACGTTGAAACATTTTGGCTGTGGCAATTTCAAGAATTATTTTCTGTGCAGATGACTGATTGGCAAGTCTCGACTAAAGATAATTTGGTATAAAGTAAGGTCAAAGTTCTTATTTAATTATCAATAATTTGAATTGCGCATTTGGTTTAATAAGAGCCGAATTTTATGGACATCTTCAGTTGGAAAATGTAGCTCAACCTAAAATGGTAGGAGTGACCTGAAGACTAAATTCATGCTTCAGATTCAGCTTTTTGCATTGCTGGTCGCATTTATGGGGCATCCATGGCATTTAGAAATAATTCAGGAATATAAGAATTGCTATGGAGGATAAACACACCACATTTACACCCTCCCAAAATACAGCAGATACACCCCACAGATACCTCCAGCAACCCTCAGCAACACCCTTCCCACGTTTTGGATTAGTACATAATAAAAGCACGAATATGTTACAGAATGTTATGTTTAATAAAGTTGCATAAATAAATAATTACATTAATATAAATTTTGAGACATTTAACTAAAAAATGAAAGATTTTATCTTAGAAACAGACTGAAAAAAAAAATTGGCAATAATCTAGTGCCGAGTGCTTTGGTTTCCGTTGACCCCGTGGAAACCTTATCAGTTTTCTGATTCAGCTGACCTTCTTGGAATTAAAATTGAGTTTCCATGTTTTAAAACCAAAAATCAACCAAATTAAACTAAATAGAGGAAGTGTTAGAAGGGTTATTAGTATTATGTGATTTTGTTTACTACGAGCAGGGAAATTAAAAAGAACCAGATAGGTTTAAGTTTAGTAACTGAACAACTAATAGCTGTTTTAATATGAAGTAAAAATTTAAATTAATCCAGACCCTATGAATTGGATTGGGAACAATATACATAGCTTATCAATTCAAAAGATGGCACGTGTACTCAAAAATAACAAATCAAGTACAAATTAGTTCCAAAACGAAACAAAAACATTTGTCTAATAGGGGCTTCCTCCGTCTAAGTCTAACATGTTGTTTTCTATTTCACATTTCATATAAACATTGAACTCTTTCTGGTGTTATCAAAATTTCGGGTTTTTTACAGGGTGATAGTATTTCAAGAAGAGTTATGTATTTAAAGTTTCTTATTTTTCCCAAATACATTGTTCGATATATTAGTAATATAATAGTAATAATAACATTTAAGTAATATATTTTACGTACATATATAAATACCGATATATATATATATAAATATATACATCGAGACCAGAATGTCTGTAAGAGGCACCTGGATTCCTGTACAATAATAATAGGTAACTCAAAGTCGAAATCCCAAAACGAATACCTTGAAATCTCGGGTATAAAAAGAGCTCAGATTTCAGGTCGACTTCAGTTTAAAAATTGAAATCAACATGAAATTACTGGTAAGTAGGCGAAGTGATAAGAAAAAGTAACCGGAAGTTAAATTTGTTCGGTATTCAGATTGTTCTGCTTGCCCTGGTGGCCACTGTCTTGGCTAGACCCCAATTCGGTCAGTCAAGATTCGGAGGTCAAGGAGGACCAGGAGGATATGGCGGTCAAGGAGGATTCGGTGGACAAGGAGGATTCGGTGGTCAAGGAGGATTCGGTGGTCAAGGAGGATTTGGCGGACCAGGTCAAGGAGGATTTGGTGGTCAAGGAGGATTTGGCGGACCAGGTCAAGGAGGATTTGGCGGACCCGGCCAAGGAGGACCAGGATTCGGTGGTCACCGTGAACACCATGGGCACCATGGACACCACCGCGGATACTAACTTCGCCAAATTGTTAATGTTTTCTAAAATGCATAAAAATAAAAAATACAAAAATTTCTACGCTATTCCACTGCTTATTTACTTCAGCCTTAATTTATTATTTAGTATACTACTTTTATTTTAGAAAAGTCATTTATGGACTATTAGCTGATTAACTTTTGTTTTCTAACGGCTAATATTCGTTCATAGTTTGTGAATTTAATGATCATACAAATTACATTGTTTCCTTTCGAATTTATGGCAATAATAACTAGGAAGACATAAATAGGGCAAAATGTAGACTTCATTAATGATGAAATATGTTTTTAACAGTGTAGAACTACAACATGGGTAGGCCAAACTAAAATATATATATAACAGAAATATGATTGATCAAATTAAAATTTTCCATTCAATAATATTAACATATAGCTTATCAGTTAAAAATATATAAATATATGTTGTTTTCTATTTCATTTAAACATTGAACTCTTTCTATTGCTATCAAAATTTGGGGTTTTCACTTGTGATATGTTATTCAAAGTTTCTAATTTTCCCTATTTACATTGTTCGATATACTCGTATAAGTAAAAGTTGTAAGTAGTAAGTTTAAAAAATGAAATTTCTGGTGAGATGGCGAAGTGATTGCCCTGGTGGCCACTGTCTTGGCTAGACCCCAATTTAATGGGCCAGGATTTGGAGGTCCAGAAGGTCAAGGAGGTCCAGGAGGCCCAGGAGGATATAGTGGTCAAAGAGGATTTGGCGGAAACGGAGCATATGGTCCAGATTTTTGAAATTCTTGAAATGCATAAAAATAAATAACACATATATTTCTACACTATTCCACTGCATATTTACTTTGGCCTTAAATTATTATTTAGTATACTACTTTTATTTCCGAAGAGTAATTTATGGACTGATTAACTTTTGTTTTCTTACGGGTAATATTCTTCCATAAAGTTTGTGGAATTAACGATCACACAACTTACATTATTATCTTTCCAATTTTTGGTAATAATAACTATGATGACATAGATAAGACATTATGTAGGCTTCAATAATGATGAAATGTTTTTAGCAGTGTAGAACTACTGATAGTTATTGAGGTACAAACTGAAATATTTTATTTTACTATTTCTATTGCCATGTAACTACTTGGTGGTTTCGTAGATATAGGCATCACTATTAGGCCAAACTAAAATGTATAAATAATAACAATATGATTCAAATAAATGAAATTTCCCTGACAATAAAAATTATATATAATCGTATATAGCTTATCAATTCAAAATATCGCACAAATGTTGTTTTTTTTTTCCAATTATACTGTGAACTAGGGTGAATCATATTTTTATTAAGTATTTAGTGATAGATAAGCTTAATAGATAGTCGTAATATATATATTATATATACACATCTCGGGTATAAAAGAGCAAAAATTTTGGACAGACTTCAGTTCGAATATTGAAATCAACATGAAATTCCTGGTGAGTAGTAAGCTAAGCCATAGGGAAAGTAACCGAAACTTATCTTGGCTCTACCTTTCAGATTGTCCTTTTTGCCTTGTTGGCCGCGGTTTTGGCTAGGCCTACAGTTCATTCCAGTATATGCTATGATTCTCGGATAAATCAATACGGATTATGTTGTGGATCATTTGGACCATTTGGACCAGTTATATTTGGCACACAAAGATTTCCTGGTCATTTTGGCAATGAACCCAATTCACAAATAATTTTTAATTAATAATGAAAAATGAATCAATAAATCCTTTTTAGTGATTTAACTTAAAGTGGCCTAGTTGTTTTACAATTTGTTTTTAAACTTAGTTTTCATTTCTTATATTATGAGAACAATTGTAAATTAATAGAAAAATAATCGAACTGTAAAAATGGAAATTCATGGCCTTCTTACTAATTTTAACGAAATGCCTGTTAAAAATACAAAATAAATTGATAATTATATATTTTATATTTCTACTTACAAATATTTTAAATTTAAATTTCAAACAAGCTTTAAAATTATTAAATCCTTAAAAAAAAAGTATAATGTTTTCCCAAAATCTAAGTTACAGCAATACGAAAAGCTTTTTAGACAAGATCAAAATTACCACAAAAACTTTTCACTTACCGTTGTGACATGACTTACGGTCCACCTATGGGTCTTTTTGCATATTTATACCCGTTACTCGTAGAGTAAAAGGGTATACTAGATTCGTTGAAAAGTATGTAACAGATAGAAGGAAGCTTTTGCGACCCTATAAAGTATATATATTCTTGATCAGGATCAATAGCGAAGTCGATTGAGCCATGTCCGTCTGTCCGTCCGTCCGTCCGTCCGTCCGTCCGTATGAACGCTGAGATCTCAGGAACTATAGCAGATACAAAGTTGAGATTAAGCATGAAGATTCTTGAGGTCCCGGGACAGCGCAAGTTTATTACAGCATCCTGACACGCCCACTCTAACGCCCACAAATCGAAAAAAACTAAAATTGCTGAAATCTCAGGAACTATTGCAGTTAGAAAGCTGAAATTCAAAAAGTATAATCTTTAAATGGCAGCGCATCTTATAGTGGTACTACTATCCGGCCACACCCACGTATCCGCCCACAAGGCTCAAAAGACGGTTTTCGGATTTTCTAGAAAAGCTGATATCTCGGTAACTATAAGAGATAAAAAGTTCGGATTAAGCATGTAGGTTTCTATGATGCTCCCAATGCGAATTGTTTTTTTCCAAACAAGCCACGCCCACTATAACGCCCACAAAACCCGAAAAACCAAAAATGCAAAAATCTCAAAAACTATAAGAGCTACACAATTTTGCTTAAAAACACATATTTAGGAGATGCCTCTGCAACTTGCCACGAAGTTGCATTTGGCCACGCCCACTCTAACGCCCACAAACCGCGGAAAACTGTGGCGTCTATAATATTAGTATGAATGCCTTTGTTTGACCTTGTATAACTTATTTCTGTTAATATCTATCGATTTACTAAAGATTTTTCAAATCGGAACATTGTTTCGCTATTTATGAAGAAATTAAGGTTATAAGGCCTCACATGGGAAGTGACGCCACTATAAGCATACTCAACATACTTCCTCTGACAATAGGTGGCGCCTCGTGAATTTGCACTAGCAAAATAATATTTTAAAATTTTTTAAAACGGTAACGGGTATCTTAAAGTCGCGTCACTCGACTATAGCGTTTCCTCTTGTTTATATTGGAAACGCTCAAATCCTGTAAAATGTTTACTTTTTAAAGTTATTTACCATTTGTTGTGACTAGTTCAATCGACTGAAAATATAAACTTTGAGAGTACACTTAAGAACTTGAGGACCTCTATAAGCGAGGAAGAAACGATGGTTAAAATATTCCCTTTGACTTACATTGTTCACTTTAAGAATGAATAATTATAAATAATAGTACAAATAACGGAATACTAGCATTTTTAAGCGTCAGATAAACTGCGATAAATTTCTAACTTTATAATTTTATTCTACACCCACCGAAAAGGAACAAAATGTATTCATATAGCAATGAAACAACGAGGTTTCAGGTCAATGTTAAAGACTTTCTTTATCAGCCGATGGAGGGTTGGTTCAAAAAGGTAGATTATTGCACGCCCTGTTTAACAAATCACACTCAGGTATGGCCAGGTTATTTTACCCTCTAAATTGTGGCACTGAATGTGGCATGTTTACTTTGCGAATTTAGCGAACAATACAAACCAAATGCATTTGACACTGAAGTCAGGATGTCTTAGTCGTAAATCCAGGGATCTTGTCCCATAAAGAACAGTAGCTGTAGGGATTGGGAAAGTATGCGAGAAATGAGGGACCATATAGACAGACATTGAGGAAGGCACAGTTACTATTTCATTATATTTTGAAGACTCAGTTTTAATCTAAATAGCAATCTATAGGTTTGTTCAATTGTTTGTTCGGTGTTTTCTTTTATTTCGTTTGTTGTTGTATATGGGCTTTAATTTGAATATTTATTTACAATTTATTTAAGACTCGCTACACCCTTGCTCAAGTCAAATATAGTAACAGTTGCAATAAACAAGCTTTCAACTTATTGCTTACGTGTCTCATCAATATAATTTACAAGAAAAACTTACTTAAACGCTAATCTCCGTTGATGTTTTTTGCTTTTTATGTCTCTGTGCTTCATTACGCATAATTTACTTTACGGATATTTACCGGCTGCTGCTTATATTGTTGATGCTTCGTTTATTTTGTAGGTATGTGTATTTTTACTAGTGAGAATATTGGTTGGTTAATTGAGAGTATATATATATAATCACTATATATATCTGACTTCTATATACCATATTCAACATTTGCAATTTATGTACGTTCGTTCGTTCTTACGAATTGGGCTTTTACTATGCGCTTGCGGTTGGTTTTCTTTGTATAAATAAAATAGAATATTTTTTTTTTTTTGCTTTTGCTTCGCTTCGAATAATACATGCCATATACATACATATAAGAAAATGCTCGATTACGATTCTCATAACTTATGGTTCGACGTTAACCAAATGAGGCCCTCGGACAGGCCATCGCCGGATGTGGCACATGATGGTTGAACATACCAATTGCGATCTCTTATTCTAGTTAAACCTAGTTTTTCCTGGATTTCATGGGGTTTCATTGCTGGAAGATATCAATAAAATATAAATTAGCAATGTGAAAGCTTTGCTAAAATGAGTTTAGTTACCATCAGGAAGATCCTGTTTGTTAGCAAATATCAGTATGATGGCGTCTCGCATCTCTCTATCGTTAATTATCCTATGCAACTCCGTGCGCGCCTCATCTATCCGATCCCGATCCGCACAGTCCACCACGAAAATCAGACCCTGCGTTCCTGTATAATAGTGTCGCCAGAGCGGTCGAATCTTATCCTGCCCTCCGACGTCCCACACATTGAACTTGACATTCTTGTACGTGACGGTTTCCACATTAAAACCCACAGTGGGTATCGTTGTTACTGATTGCCCGAGTTTCAGTTTGTACAGAATCGCTGGGAATATTTAAAAACAAGATCAGTTAATAAGTCCACACGGTTTAGGGATGTCTCAAATTCAGTTTTGGACTTTTAAAAAGTAAAATGTTATGTTATTATTCTATAGAATCAATGTAATAAAGCTTTATCAATCCTCCAAAACCTCCTTGATCGAAAAATTGAGATTTCTAAACTATAAACTATAAATTTCTTCTTAAATTTGTAAATATTTTAAATATTTTTACTGATTTAACTTTCATAAAGTTTTTGTTATGGATAATTAAACAAGATAAACAATTTATCGGCTTACAAGCTGAATTTCTGTTTTATCGATGCTATATTTCTGATATTTGAGTACAAAATAAATCTAAACTCGAATTCGAAACTCCTTTTTTCACATGCTTACTTGTTTTCCCAGCCGCGTCCAGTCCAAGCATAAGAATTCGCATTTCTTTGTTGCCGAAAATTTTTGATAGTAGCTTTCCCATGGTGCTGATGTGTCATCCATTAAACCTTAGCCAATCTGAAAAATGGAAGTTGCGTTGACAAGGGCTTTCCAACTGAGCATACATATCGATAAACTGATTGGGCGAGATTCAGGGCAGGGTCAGTGAATTTCCAGATATAATAATACGGCCATTGTAATATAGTTTGCTATACTTGGCAGTTAACATATCAATTTATGATATAAGAACGACGACGCGAGAAGGCGCGTAAGTGATATATGGTACATATATATACATATATGTACATAGAGAACACAGAGTGATATCTATATGAGCACAGGCAATTTGGTGGCCATATAGAGCTCAATCGGCGGCGGAAGTTAAGAGCATTATTTTGCATAATAATTTCACTTACATTGTCAGCTCATCGCTATAAAGCGAGAAGTATAAAAAAAGAAAGAGGCAGAAATTTATCAGTGAAGAGCTTCCAGCACACTCGCACACACACATACATATAGGAAGTACAATTGGACAGATAAACACACTATAGTGTCTCGTAAATTAAGGCAGAGTTATCTCAATTGTGGACTTATCGCTGGCTCCACTGAATGGGTGGGTGGATGAGCCAATCCCCCCGACACCGCACAGTACCACCCCGCCTTCTCGATCCACTAAGCCGGCTTTAGATGGCAGACAAACTATATCGGATGGTTTTTGATTCTACGGAATTTCGCTCACTCTCTCGCTTGCCTACGTCACAAACACGCCCGTAACACACATATACACACCCAAGTTTCCTGACGACCGCCGTTACGCACCGCTTTCCAGCCCAATTCGATCCACGCCGGCCTAAAATCGGTTAACATGTATTGCCAAAGTGCGCGGGCCAGGCATAAAATGCATTTGCTAGCACACAGTGGCTAAAAAACTATAACTAACAACAACAATTTTGCACTAATCTTCTTGTATTTATATACACATACACGAAGCAATGTGACCGTCGGCGTAGAGTAGATTATTATTCGAGGGCATTTTGGGCAATGTGTTAAAAATGCCAAAGCGCTTGGCAAAATACCAAAAAATAGAACACTTAACAGTTGGACGGCAGTAACAGGGGTGTTGCATACTGTGATTTCTTTTAAATGTGATAAGAAAATAATTACGTTAAATTTAATCAATATACATGTTAAAAAAAAAAACCTGTCATAAACAAAAACAGTTTATGATTTATAGAGCAAATGTCACTGAAGTTATAGTAAAATTAATGTTTTGGTTTATCATAAAAGAGGAACAATAAGAATATAGTTTTTTCAAATATCTCTAGGCGTTCTAAAAAATTATACGTTATATGAATATAATTTCTTTTATATAAATGAATATCTGTCATTAATTAATTTAAATTTAATGTTTGTCTCACTAGACGTGACCCTGTATGTTTACTTTACCCCAGCCCGGTCCCACTGGCACCTACCTATTGATATCGGTATCGATATCAATTAACTCGATTGATTTCAGCTCCTTTCAACTGTATTGTTTTATTTTATATTTGGGCAATACTTACGACACTGACATCGCACAATAAAAATAATGGAACTGAGTTAGTCGTCGCCCAGGTCAGACTCGGAAAACATGGCTGGAATTTGTCCCCGGGAGGCGGTGCGGGTGAAAGTGAAGGCAAGTGAAAGGAGGCCAAATGGCTAGACAACAAAGGGGCTGCTTAATTTGTAACACTTAAAACACTATTCCTAATCCCTCACAGAAATGCGAGCCAACTGCACGGCCAGAATGGAGAAAGTTTTCCGTGGATCCGCAGATCACGACGTTGGAGGTTCTCTATTCTCTGCTGGCCAAGGCCTTTGACGTCAAGTCGGACTTCTCCATCAAGTACAAGGCCTTCGACCCGGCGGGTAACGAGATCTACCTGGCAGTACGATCCGATTGGGATCTGGATGCCGCCTTCCTTCGGATTCACAACATATCCATTCAGACGGCATCTGAGCCGTGCCTCATCCTGCAGATTGATGTCAAACCTTTTACGGTGGTTAGGGAATGCGAGACGGAAGCCTCTCCAGGAAGATCATCCGCAGGAGCACCTGCTCCTGCCACTCCTTCCGCTCCAACCCCCGCACGTGAGCTTATGTCACCACTGCAATCCTTAGGGGTCTCCCAGAAGTATGTGCAGCATATGCAAACCAAACTGGGAAGCTCCATTTTGAACCAGATGGAGAAAACCTTTTCCATCGTTCAGAAAGCCTTTAACCTGTCTGAGGAGCACATGGCCAATCTGCCGCCACGACCGCCCATGTGCGACAGCGAATTCCGGCTCTTCCTGGACGCGCTGGGCCAGATTCAACGGAAAGATGAACTGCACAGGGTCATCTTCCTGGGAGGCATCGATCCCAGCCTGCGACGCGTCGTATGGAAGCATCTTCTTAATGTTTATCCCGGTGGTGCTAATGGTCTGGCTCTGGATGGCCACCAGCGCATGGAGTTCATGCGTCGCAAGTCTGAGCAGTATTGCCGACTGCGGGACACCTGGAAAGCGGCCGTTAAGCGAGGCAGTGTGGCCGGCGAGTTGGCCTACGTTACAAGCATGGTGAAGAAGGACGTGCTGCGCACGGATCGCCTGCATCCATTTTATGCGGGCAGCGACGACAATCAGAATATAGCAGCGCTCTTCAATATCCTAACCACATACGCACTGAACCATCCCACGGTGTCTTATTGCCAGGGAATGTCTGATATTGCATCCCCGCTACTGGTCACCATGAATGACGAGGCCCAGGCCTACATCTGCTTTTGTGCCATAATGGCACGAGTGCGCGGAAACTTTATGTTAGACGGAATTGCGATGACGCAGAAATTTGCCCATCTAACGGAGGCACTGAGCTTCTACGACCCGGAGTTCTGGGAGTACCTCAAATCTCAACAGGCAGACGATCTACTCTTCTGCTACCGCTGGCTGCTGCTGGAGTTAAAGCGAGAGTTCCCTTTCGAGGATTCCCTGCGCATGCTGGAGGTCCAGTGGAGTTCACTTCGATATCGGAGCGATGGCGAGAAGGAGCTTCCACTTTTTGAAAAGGTTAGTGTCAGAGCCGAAGGTCACTAGAACAGTACTTATGAATATTACTTATTCTCTTGCAGGAATTTGTACCAATTACGGAAAGCTCCATACCCAATAGCGCCAGCACTTTCTCTAGCTCTTACAGCGCCACGCCGACAAGTCCATCCTATCTGCTAACCAAGCCGCGCGAAAATCCATATACCAAGGTATGTGCTTTGCGCCGCCAGAGTTCCTCAGCCTCTCTAAGCTCTCTTAGTTCATCGTTGGGAACTACTGGCCATGCTCTGGACAATACAAAACGGCTGAATCACAGTCTGGACGATAATATGTCCCGTCATGCAACCGCTGCTGCTCGTCGACAGAGACGCACTTCGGCCAAGGTTCATCAGAGCCTTGACGAGTCTAAAATGCTTGCGCTGATCGAAGGAGCGATGGATAATAAGAATGTCAAGTTGGCGCAAGATTTGTCTGCCGGGGAAGAAACAGAAGATGATGATGTATTTGATAAGAGGGAGTCGCCAAGTTTTCTGGAAACCAATCCTTTTAAGGATGATGCCCAGAGAACACCTGAGAAAGTAAACGAAACCACACCTGTGTCGCCAGGACGAGCCTTTCTGTGCAGTTCTTCCTCTTCGATTCTGGACGAGGACACCAGCGAGAGGAACGCAAAGCTGCAGCACAAGAATATCTTAACCGTGAGCAATATTATCGCCAAACAGCTTGCCACGAATGCCAGCCAAGTGAGCGAAAGTATGAAGCGAGTGAGTAGCACCAGTGGTGGTCACTTTAAGGATCTCAAGGAAAAACTGGCGGCAACCAGTCGCATTGGACTCTCCTTTGATGGTGAAGGAGGCGACGATGGCGATCGAAAGATACCGCCAAAGCTTGTGAAGAACTTCAATGAATTCCTAAATTTTGCAACTATAAATAAGAATCGTATATCCGATCGTTTTGCCACTCAGCCACAACAGCCTACAGCTCCGACTTCGGTAACTAAGCCTTTGGTTCAGCTAACGAAGAGCGGACTGGGAAGCTCCCTAGACGAATCCGATTCCTCCTCATTGCCGGAGACCAGCTGGAGCGCATCCACAGCTGCAACGGCCATTCAGCAGGCGCAGGAACTGAGCAGCTACAATCTGCAATTGGATTTGGAGAGCAATCGCACATGCGAACCAGACGATTCAAACACACCGGATCAAGATCAGGATCCCGACCAAGAGTACTATCCCATGACGACGGCCATAACTCGTGAACTACGCTTGGAGGCCGAGAATTTGGATCGTCAGGTATTCGGGCTGCCCTTTACGGAGAGCGAAAAACGGGATGACATAGAGTACGAGAAGCTGGACAAGGACGCACTTGACTTAGTGGAGGATCTAAAGGAGAACGAGATCATTACATGTCCTGATGTCAGTGAGCTACATATGCGACGTCGACAGCGACTGGCAGCCAAGAGCAATAGCGTCCAGCAAAACGAGTCGCACGCCTTTAATCCATTCATCGACGAAAGTCAGCTTCTTCTGGATGGACACAATCCACTAGGGATGCGCAACAGCAGCAGTTTACCGGAGGTCATTCTGCCCATTTCCACGGAGCCCAGTCTGGTGGAGGTATCGCCTTTGGTGGAAATCGCCACAAATGCCGATGATGAAAGCGCCTACGCTCGATCCCCACAGCGTTCAACACATCTTAATGGTGTTAGCGCACTGAACGCCACGGCAGCTGCACTTCCGCCGCCATCGGAATTTGGTGGAGGCAACGCTTTCCTGATGTTTCTCTGCTTGACTCTGCTGCTGCAGCATCGAAACACGATCATGAAGGCGGGAATGGACTATAACGAGATTGCAATGCACTTTGATAAAATGGTGAGAAAACACGATGTCACTCGGGTGCTCAATCAGGCGAGGCGCATGTTCGTGGAGTACCTCAAGGCTCAGAGCAGCCCGCAGCGCCAGAGATCACCCAGTGGCTCTGTTCCCAATGCATCCACAGGCGCCAACTTGACCGCCTCCATGCCGGCGTAGAGTGATTACAGTTCTACCAGTTTCGGTGAAACCATAGTATTCCCAAAATTTTGACTATCACTTAAGTAAGCCAACCTTCTGAGTATTTGTTCCCCGCTGGATTTCCATGACACGTTTTCGTTCTTGCATTAAATGGAAGCTTTAACTTATCACATACCTTGTTTCCAAATTTATATATTTGGAATTCTCTTATATAACTAAAAAAAATCTTTCATTTTAATATTTAAACCTCAAGAATTTAAAGAAAGTTTCACTTGATGTATCCAAAAACTCAAAGGTCCAAGTGACAGTTACTAGGAGTAGAATCGCTCAAGGTGAACAGCAATTGTAAAACCAAAGTCTTCTTTTTTGTACGTAAACGGATTTTGTACTTTCTTATTTTAAATTAAGATTTTATTTATATATTTATTCCTACTTATCTGTATGTGCAGCTCTTCACCAAATGATCATACGTGTGTGTTTGGTTTAAAATCGCTTTATTTCACTAGTCTGCTAAAGCATTCCATGCTCTTGTAAAGATTTTATTTTAGACTTAAAAAGGCGGTTAAATATTAATTTATGCAATTAAATTGACGGATCTGTAACCCATTTAACTATGATCTTATTATCTCTAAACGTTCTGTATCTTATTAATCTCCAAACTTAATCGGAAAACAAAGTAATTTTGTAAATTATAATTGAAACCAAATGGTAAGAGTTAACGACTATGCTATGTAAAGTTACAAAAACCAACTTTTAAACAATCGATTAATAAACAAATTCGAAGTAAATGCAATGCACAATTTATTGGAATCAAAATAAGTTTCAAGCACAAAAAAATAATCAAAATCATTTCAAACGAAACAATGCTACAAACAACATAATCGGTGGACCAAAAATTCAAAAGTTGTATTTCTTCTTAAGCCGCTCGCGTATAAGAAGACCTTTGATCAACTTCTTCCAGTTTCCATACACTCTTGCCTCGTACTTCTCCTGTTCTTTCCGGGCCTGTACCTGCTGATCCTCCTCCCAGGCAGCAGTCACCACTTCCCCAAACTCTTCACAGACAATGAAGCCATCGTACATGGGATGACAGGCGCCCTGATGGAAATCGAAGCCAACCACCGCATTGGCGCAATCAATATTCAGCTTCTTACAAACGCGCATCAAGCCAGGCACTATAATGAAAATATTCTTATTAATCAATCTGAATCGGTATTTAATTTCTTTTCTTACATCTCAGGTGGACTGTCTTCTTGGGCAGCATGCAGGCCTTAAAAAGCTCCACATTGCCGTAGGCATTTCTCGGCACAATTCCATTCTCTGCTGTAGGCGGCTCGTACTCCTGCGTCTGCCAGTAGCCAAAAATCTCCAGTGGCTGGTCCTTGATGACAGAGCGAGTGAGCTAAAAGGTATAAGAACATGAATGCGAAATAAATATTGGTTAGTGAAATTTTGACGTACCTTATCCCACTTGGGACGCGCCTTAACCACCTTGTAAGGCTGCTCGCCAAGTTTCACAACGCGAGCGCTCTTTAGCCAGATTTCCCGAGAGTGCAAGAGGTGCACGCAATCCCTGGAGTAAACCGCTTCACCGCGAATAAAGCCCAATGTGGGCGCATCAGGGGGATACAGTCCCTGAAACTTAAGCAAGTGCCGTTCCAAAGCGTACAGCGGATGGTCCTTGAATTCAGAAATGGATTTTGGCAGGGGTTTGTTGGCATGGATACGGCGCATCTGTTCATCTTCCGTTATATCGCGCATTGTACGTCTGCCAAGATAAGGGGCAATGGTTTCATCCAACCAGGCTTTGTCGACACGCGACTTGCGTACCGTGGTGCACCAGCTGGTGCAGTATCGGGCAGTGACATCCTTGAGACTCTGATCGGATTGGAATGCAAAGACATAGGCCAAACCTGGCGAAGCATTTTTCTGTGAATTCGAGAAACTAATATTGGAAAAGGGCTAAAAGAACATGTGAATATATACGCACCCTTATGGTGTCCACGCAGTGCAGCTTTCCTTTGAACATGTCTATGCAAATCCATTGCTCTTCCACCTCAGACCATACCTCCACCCACATATCAGAGGCATCCAAACGACGCTTAACCCTTGAGCCGCCCTCATCATCTGTGGACATCACTCGTCGATCCTTCCGCAGATTTTGCACTGACTTGGGTAGTACAGGGGCCTTTTTCACCGGCCTAGCGGGCTCGAATACCTCATCGGAATCCTGAGAATTTTTCAGCTTCTCCAGTTTTGGGCGCTTCTTGGGCAGCGGAATATCATCGCTGCCATCCAACTGCGGAATGGAAAGTGTGCTACCGGCTTTTTGTCCTCGGTTTCGTAACTGTCGACTTGGCACAGCTTCGGATAGAAAGTTTGGAGAAATTCGAGCCTTGGTTTCAGGACTTTTATGATTCTTTGGCGGTGCTGGAACTGGATCGACTGCAGTGGATTTGGTCCCAAGGAAAGACGGAGAGATGAGTACTTTTGGAGATTTGCTTCTCGATCGAGTTTCGCCGGTGCTGTGTTGCTCTTTTGGATGATTCTCCGCCGGATTGGCGTTCTCCGTATCGCAGTGCTTTTTGTTTAGCTGTTTCACTTTGGACATCACCAGTTTGGGTAATACTGGTGATCCAATCACCTGTTGTGGTTTCTCCTCTATTTTAGGTTTCACGGTGGCTCTACGGGTGCGACCAGCGACGGGCGAAAAGGTTTCCAAAGGAGCTATCCTAGATTTCTTGCTGTCACCAGCCGTTCCAGAAATACTTTGAGTGGTTACCCTTTTCAGCAGGGACAATTGAGGCTTAGGTTTGGTCGCTGGTGGGGAACTATTAAGAGCGGCCTTGGAGGTACTTGGTTTCTCCTCAAAAGAAGTATCCGATTTACTGGAACTAAAAGATGTTTGTTGATTTTTTATTCCAACCAATTTGGAGGACAGACTCGGCTTTAACTCCTTTTTGTCTTGCATTTTGGATGAACTTGATTTTGGAGGTTCGGTTTCCTTTTTTAGGGGTTTGGAACTGGATGAGGAACTTGGTTTCACTTCAAGCGAAGTATCGGATTTGCTGGACTTAGTGGATTTCTGTTGTTTGGATTTTTCAACTAGTTTTGAGGAGAGACTATTTCTTATTACCTCATTTTTATCCTCCAGAGCTTTACTTAATTTTGATGCTTCTTTACCTTTTTTTGTTGACTTTGTACTGGAAGATGGTTTACTGTCAGGTTTGGTACTCTCTTTCTTTGCAGTTTTCTCATTGCTTTTCTTTTCAGCCTCTTTGGATACTGTGGACTTACTGCTCCCATTTTCCTTCTTTGAATCTGCCGCCTTAGCTGCCTTCTTATGTTTTTTGGGCTTCTCATCCTCCTCACTCTCCATCTCGGAATCAATCGTCTGGCTTTTGTTCTTCTCATCTGGCTTAAGTTTGATGGGAATCAAATCACAGGCCGCTGGACGAAGTGGCATTGGTTGGAGATTCACGATCAAACGACAATGCATACCCATTCCCCGTGCAAGGACAATGAATATGAAGATCATATCCTGCTTGCAGCGAGCTTCCTTGCGCTTGATCTGTTCTAGCAAGGAATCCACAATGGATTTCTTGTTAGCCGTCGATTGCTCGGAATATAAATTGGGATTCAGCAACTTGATGGCCGTTTTAAACCAGGTGACAAACGACTGCAGATACTTAAGTTCAACGCCGCGTTCTGTGGGATAGGCATTCCGGCTTGGCAGTAGTTTAAGGGCAGCCTGCATCAGTTCATTTGATTCACTCAGCAAGCGATTGTACTTCAAACTGCGTGCGATCTGGCACATCAGGCTGACTTTGTGCAGTAAGAGCTGGCGATCTTTGATGTCCCGGTTGAGGCGACGCTTCAGAGCCATTTCTAGTTCGTGCTGGGTCTTCTGCTCCTTGGTGGGTCGAAGGTTCTGAAGTCCCACATGGATCTCAAGATCTCCAGAGATGTTTGGCGTGCCGCCATCCTCGTCCTCGCCACTGGCCAGATCAGCATCTGCAAAGGGAATTGGAATCGGGGTGATGATGTGACACTGAACTGATTGATAAACAGTGATGGGAAGATTTTGGTTTCTATATCTCTTCACAAAAACTATATATTTAGATAAATTGTAAAATAAACTAAGTAACTTTCTAAAGAATATAATTTATTTTCCATAGAAAAGTTTCCACAAACTAGGTTATTAAAGTATCTAAGTCTTTATATTGAATTGCCAATCATATATCATAAATATTTCAAATGTTTTGAACCAACAAAAGATCGTAACTTAAATAAATTGGTAACAAATAAGTTGAATGCCTCCCATCACTGATGAGAATGCGAGAGGATCGGGCAGGAAAGGCTGGCTAAAAACACCCAGACAGAGAGCATGGATTCCTTTCAACATTTGCATTTATTTATTTATATCATTTAAAGTGCATTTTAAATTTCAATTATTGAGTTAATTACAATCAACATTCACTAAGTTGCGCTAAAATTACGACTTTTATTTGATTTATTGCATCGTTTATTCGAGTATATCATTAATAATTAGATGTCATACTCTGCATGCAGATGTTTATGTTAAGTGAATACAATTTCGCTAAAGTAAATTCGTTAAACATCAGTTCTAATTTATTAACTACTTGGTAATTTCTGTGAAACACTTGCAATTGCCATAAAGTAAGTACACAAATAGTTACTACGCCATTTGACTAGCTATTCAAAATTATTATTTTCATTTCAATATATATATTACTGGTTTCGCGTTTTTAAAATCTTCTCCTTGGTATTTTTCATCATTTTTGATTTGGTTAACTGGAGTCTTTTGGACTTTTGACGTGTTTCGCGTGGCAAACAGAAATTGAAAACTCACAAAAACAATTAAAATAAATGCATTTTCTGAGTTAAGTTATCGCTGATAAAAAACATTATTTTTTTCCGGTGTATGTGCAGACATTTAAATCACGTTTAGACCTTTGTAAACATTTAGTTTATGCTTTTGACTTATCATCCATTTAACACGCAGATTGAGCTTAAGCTAGTGCAAAAACGTTTAAAAATGTTCAGTTGATTTGATTTGATTTCTTTTCTTTTCTTTGACATTTAAAAAGTAACTTCCTTTTGATTTTAACAAGCTTTTTTGATAGGTTTCCCATTTAATCTTTCTATATTAATAATTTGCATTTTATTCCGCGGACAACTTGGGTAACAAATGCCGCAGGAATCTGGATTTTGGCTTGGCATCTCCTGAATTGGGGATTAATGGCCTGGTTAGTGCGGGTATAAATAGGTTAGTAAGCCAAGTTTCTGGATAAAGCAATCTCAGCAATCTCTCATACGCTAGTTTCTCAGTCTAATCGACTAACAATATGTTACAGTAAATAGGTATATTGTAGATTCATGGCCATTATTTTTGACGCGGCTCTTCCAAATGTACATTCATGCATACAGTTGCGGTCGAAATAAAAGCATTACATATTCGATCTAATATTTTGTCAGAAAATAAAGTAAATTTTAAGATTTAAATTGGTCTAATATAAATGTTAACAGAAAATGCTTTTTTTTTTAAGTAAATTAGCTAAATACTTCTAAATATTCTCTTATAATCATAACAATATGTTAAATCATGCGCTTATTTGGACCGCAACTGTATAGGTCGGTTAGTAATTTCTATATTTTCACATCGACAAAATAAACTTAGTACAAACAAAACTACACAGTCTCATACAGAGCAATTTGGAAGCTTATTTTTTGTTCATCAGATACCAGAAATGCCAGCGCCACAACCAACTTGGGTAAGCATGCTCCACTGCCTCCTGCCAATGCCATTCTCTTCCTGGAGCCTGGCCGTCAAACTACTTGCATTTTCGCCTACCTGCCACTTCCTCAAAATCGGAATCATCGGTGTCGCCGGCATTGGCCACCACTGTGGACACGGGCCGCGTCTTAGTATGTCGCTTTATCCGCGTCGACTTGGTCTTGCTCAGCCGCGATGGTTCATCCAGCGTTGGAGGTGCTGCTGGTACTCCTCCCGCCTTTCTTCGCTGATTTCCCTCACTTTCATCTACCACCACTTTTTGGTAGTTCTGGTTCTCGCCCAATGCAAGCAGCGCATTGACATCCATGGTGGCAGCCTTGCTACCTGGCGGAGTGGCCGTAACATTCCGCTTGCTCAAGGCTTCCTTAGTGCGCTCCAAGCTGTTCGCGTTCTCCAGGAGACCGCGAAAGTCGAAGGCATTGCCTGCCTTATCTTCGAAACTGCTATCGTTGTTGTCCTCTGATCCGGAGCCAGAGTCTGAGAGATTCGTGATGCCCGCATTGCAATCGAATTGGGGCGCCGGCGACTTCTCTTTCTCCTTCTGGCCGCCGGCAAAGAAGGTAGAGTGCAGATCGAGATCGGCGGGATTCACCAAGTAATCTTCCACACTGGATTCGCTGCTGGAATCAGCATGATCGTGCTGATTCCGCACACCGCTTTCATTGGGCGTTCTTGCGTTTTTTGAACCCGAAGCTCGGGGTGAGTTCTCCTGTTGAGATGGTGAAGTGGGAAAGGTTTTTGGAGGCGGTCGATACTTGTTGTACAGCTTGGAGCGCAGTGATTGGCCAGTGGGCTTGCGTTTCTTCACGGATGAACCCTTAATGCCACTTGGCGGCTTCTGATCGCTGCTAGGATGGAGGTAAAATGACAGGATAAAGACAGATTTTACCAAGGAGAAGCTCCTATTTCTGACTCACCCTCTTTTTCCCGCAATCGCGGAGGATCGTCCGCTGGAGCCCGCTGCACCTCCCTCCGCCTGCAGCTCATCGAACTCACTGTCATCGTCGTCGGAGGACTCGCCTCCCTTGGCGTCCTTGCTAGGCCTCCACTCGTCCTCGCTGGCCGAGAAGCCCTCGGACACGGAATCCTCCTCCTCGTCGGACATCTTCCTTTTTACTTTGGGGCGGTTTACATTTATGTATCGATGCGTGCCACTTAGTTATTGATTTTTACTGCGCAGTTTCTGGGACACGCGTTACACAAGATTATCCCCAGATTATACCCTTCTGCCAAACTTTGATCCTTCTATTTGTTAATAAGTTTGCTCCTTTTCGAGCTCGGTATTTGACAATTTAAATGAATTGCGAAATTCACATTTTCGCGCTTGCAAGAAAACAAGCTAAAAGCAGAGGCCGAGAAGAGTAGAGCTGGGCTAATCACCAACGATAGTATCGTTATATTAAGTGATTGTGCTTTAAAAATACTATCGCGCTTTTGACTTTTTATGGAGCTTAAAATTATAAGTCGTTTTAGAATCCTTTTTAATCAAAGTGCTTACTATTAAAAACAAATTTGGTTTAAATAAAAGGAATATAATTTTAAAACACGATAAAAAATGCTTATCGAGTATACCGTAACTGTAATAGGCTATCGATTTATATGAGTTCATCACAGCCCTGGTTCACATATGTGAAATGTTTATTTACAAAATAAATTAAAATTAATACGAAAATGAATTCCTCCGGAGAATTGCATCCAAATTGGCTGGCTCTAACGACACTGCCACTTCAGCTTAAGAGGTTCGTCCGTGCAGGAGATCCGGATATTGTTCTTGAATCCCCGAATGCGATTAAACACCAAATCGATGGACTAAATGGAACAGAGGCTCAGGAATTCTACAAGGAGGTTCTAGATGCTCCTTCAACGTGCAAAATTGCAGATGCCTCATCTAGTAAGAAAAGAGAAACGACGCGGACCCAGAAGAAGTTACAAGTGCCTTTTGATAAGACCAAATTCTTCCGATTGGCCACTGGCAACAATGTGGAGGAGTTGTCCCAAATGGAGGTTTCTGAAGAGGATCTCAATTCCCGTGATTCCTTCGGCTGGACTGCCTTGATGATGGCTGCTTGTGAAGGGGCCGTCGAAGTAGTAGTTTGGCTTCTACAAAAAGGTATCCATGTGGAGACTACAGACAAATCCGGAAATACAGCTTTTAAACTGGCACAGCGAAAAGGTCACTCGGAAATAGTACAGCTGTTGGAAACCTTGCCCTTATCTGAAGAAGCTACCGATGAGGAGGAAACAATAGATGTTAACAGTCCGTTTTACTGCGAAGTCTGTAAAAGAGACTATAAGGAAACTCCCTGGCCGGTTCATCAAACCTCCACCGTGCATCAGTTCAATCTGAAGGCTCTGCCCGCCCATAAACTACACAAGTTTAATATATCGGCCAAGAACCGAGGTCTGCAGTTGATGGTGAAACAGGGCTGGGATCAGGAGCACGGATTAGGACCCAGTCAAAGTGGAAGACTATATCCTGTGAAGACCGTTCTTCGCAAGCAACGCACTGGACTAGGAATCGAGCAGCAGCCCGCGAGGGTCACCCACTTTGGAGCCTTTGATTTAAACGCTGTTAGGAAAAGATATCCCATATATCAGCCGAGACGAACCCGGAGCGATATGCAGAGGGAAAAAGTTAGGGAATGGAAACGGGAGAGACATTTGCGCAGGGAATTAAGTTAGAAATAACGTAGACATAGAACTATCTTTTTTATAAGATCTAAATAGTTAACTAGATTGTTAATAAATCTGTAAATTAGTATCGATTTGAAGAATCTATTGATCTCGAATTAATGACCTACCTTCCAGTTTCCTAATCGTTGTCAGCGCCACCTACCGCCAACCTATATAGTTGGTTATGCGACTTAGGATGCGGATAATTGTTAAGAGGAGTGTGAGTTTTGGGCAATGCTGTTGCATGTGCTCTCTCCGGCTCCGCGACTCTCTCCCTGACATCCTGACCCTGAGGCCGCGAATTGACACGGTTTCCGCTTTGCGCCTGCGTCCTGCGGCGTTTTCTTTGTTCCCCTGAGCATCGTAATGGTATATAAGGAACTTCTCCGAATTCCTACACTCAGTCGTGTTCGGACTGCTGTACCGTTTGGTTCGTCCTCCCGTTTTTTGTACCGTTAGCAAAAAAGCGGCCGCGGAGTGTAATAAAAATAAGTTTAGCAGTGCGTGTTTTAAAGTTATACTCGCACGCTCGGCAATTAAAAAAAAGTGAAAAGTGGGAGTGCGGCCCCAAGGTCAACGGCGGCAGGCATTCCACTTAGGTAAACAGCACAGAAAAAAGTGAATTATTAAAGCGCTTGGAATAAAAACTAAAAACGTTTGGCCAACGGAAATGGAATTTTATAAATTCAAATTGCCTATTCCGAATTTTGAGGCGGTGGCAACTCTGGCGGTCGATCAACACGAACAGCTGATTGGCTTGAATTAGTATTGGTGTGCGTTTGCGTCTGTGTATGAGAGCGTTTTTGCGGCTGAGCGTCGCTACCATTTGTTGTTGCTTGTACTCCAACGTGTGCGGTTCGCTGCGCGCTTTTAAATAATATTTTTGTAAAATAATTAACAACTATGCCGACGTCTTACCTCTAACCGATATCTCGTGTGTGTCTAGTGCTTTTTGTGTTTCGTGTCCCGTTACCCCGATAAATCAAAAAAAGAAAAGAAACGCAGTTGCAAATTAAGCAAAGTTGGCAAGAATTTACACTTATTTCTGAATAATTAAACTAAATAACATGTGATTACAACGTGGGTGATAACAAAAATGCTTACAAAGTCATCGCTATAATACCATTTCTCCCACGGACTCTGAAAATATATTAAAAAACGATATTATTTAATATACGCTTCGATGTTCTTTGGCTTTTATGGTTTATTTTCGTAGCATTTATTTCGGTGATTTGTTTGGTTTTGCATTGAACAATGTACATATCGTGCGGCTCTCTTCGCTCTGATCATTCTCTCTGTCTTTATGTTTTGTCCTCTCGCTCTCCGATCGTCATTGCCAGCCTCCCCCACCATTTTCTTAACCCCCCACCAACGCCCCTTTCGATCAGGGCCCCTCCATGAACTTGCGTTGTTGTTGCTCGCGTTTACCAGGGGTGGAACAAAGTGTGTAAAATTTTTAAGGGAGGTAAATCGTTCTAGAAAGAATGATCTTTCGTTGAAAAATTATATATTATATATCTTTTTTTATAATATATCATTTTTGAACATCAAATAAACTTAAATACTTTTAGCCCTAGTATGTGATTAGGAGTGCAATTCATCAAGCCAATATAGCATATTTTAGAAAAGTTCTTGTTCTTCCATTTCTTGCCCTGCATCCGCCACTGGACCTTACACGGCATTTCTCTCCCATTAACCCCATTCGATTCTATTATTTAGACAACACAATGCTATAACCAGTCAAGTGCGGCGGGGGTGGGGTACATAACAAAAAACGGAAAAAAAAGTGAATAGAATATTTTTATTATCTCAACGATTCCCCGGAATGCTGCGAATCTGTTTCAAGCTTGCGAAATGTACACTTTTCGAAAATGAAACAGTCCCTTCTTAGTCATCTATTCTATTTACTAGTTGCGATTATTTACTTTTCGAACAGTCGTATTTGCCTAAGTATAATATTCATTAGGATTCGTTTAGTACTTTTCACAACTTTAATCTTTAACCTTGATAAACTAGTTTTGAATATCTCTGCATTTTTTCTTTTTATGAAAAGGATTATTGGTATATAGTAAAAATCTTCTTAAGTAATAACCATTAAAAGTTCGAACTACAGAAGTTGAACTGTATCAGCAGAAGGCCAAGCAGACGTTATTTAGTTCGATGCTTTGGTTAAAACAAGACTCGTAAATCTTTAAAATCGTAAACCAAACAAATGCATAAGAGCCGAAATGAAAATGCTAAAATGTTTATTATTGTAAAATAAACCCAGAGAGGCGGAGCGAAGAGCACAGAGATGAAATGAGATAAATGAAATGCCAAAAACTTCCGGGTCATTGCCTGAACGCAATGGCAATGGCAATGCCAATGGGGAAAACTCGAGTTTTTCCTTTTCTAAGGGCCCTTCAATTTTCATTTTCCTTTGTGCCGTGCAAAACTAAACTAGAACCAAATACCTGCTAGTAGTTAAAATAAATTGCAATCAAACGAAACTAAGCCAGGCAAACACACCGATATTAATATTTAATTTGAAAATGTTCTTAATTTGGTAAACACTCGAAATGCCTTCTTAGATTGTTTACCCAACATTTTTGCGGAGACCGACATAATAACCATTAAAGCAATTACAACAATTATAAACAACAATATCGAAATGAGCAATACAAAACGCATGAACTTGAAAAACCAATTTAAGCATGCTTGATCCAACATTCGGGCATCCAGGTCTTAATAGTGTCTACGAGAAAAGCCCCACAAGCAGCAAAAGCAACAACAACGGCAGCAGCATCATCAACATTTTCGTTCATTCAGCATCAACTATAAAGAGGGAAAAGTATTTCTACTCCAGCGTTTTCCATCTGGCCGCGTTTTCCCTGTCTTTTAAGTGTTTTCCCAGGTAAGACCTGTAAGATAAATGCAAATTAATTCGCAGGACGATAGTGAGCGTTTGTGCACAGAGAGAAATATTTGTACCTATTCATATTTATTTAAGTAAGAGGGAATGCAAATAGTGTTTAAGGTTCTTAAAGTCTTAAATTAACTTTTATGATATTCTGCAAAGTAAGAAAAATCTCAGACGTTTTAATATACATTTTCAACAATCTTTCTATTAAAGTTTTAAAACATTCCAATCTTAAAGAATTACATAAGAAGAATTTAAATTTCGTTGAATTCTACGTGTGTTTGTAATTGGCAGGACGATGGCTGGCATAAATCTCTCACCTGCAAGAATTTTCTAATATCGCGAAGGTGTTGCATACCAAACGGTGCTTGAAATGAGCAATTTGCCAAAACTTTCGGCATAAATTGTTGCCCAAAATCTCCGCCCCTTAAAGCGACGCCTCTGGCTCTGAGAGTGTTGTCAGTGGCAGGGTGGAAAGAAAAAAAAAAGAAGGAAAAATTAACAAAAATTAGGCCTGAAGTTTGTTGGCAAGCTCGCAAATGTGTTGTGGCTTAAAGGGATAAAGAGCTTTGCGTAGAGCAACAGCAGTAATTAACATTAATAAGACGCAGGCTAGTGGTGAAAGAGGATTTCTTGGGTGGAGTTAAAGGAGCAAAAACCAACTGACTGACTGAGTGACGGGCTCCACATTACTCATTCGCAAGACGTATGAATGTGATTTAGTGGAAAGGCCCAACTTTCCAGACAACTGTTTTCCCTATACATTTTTTCTTTCGTCCCCCCCAAGGCCACGCATTTTGAAATATGCACATAAATTAGAAATAATGTGCGTGCGACTTGTTAACACGCCTGATGATGATGGAAAGTTCTTTAACAAAAGTCCGCTTGAACTTTTCCGGGACGAAAACTTTAACCCTCCGTCTACATGCCCCAAAAAGTGTCCTGTTGTGGCCAGTGTCAACATTTCAATAGGCTCTTAATTGCCCCACGAAGGGCTTGACATTCCGTAGAGTGGATACAACAAAAAGATTGATACATTAATTAAGCCCGGGCTATGAAAACTCCTGCCCGGGTCTTTCATTGTTTCCAGTCTTAATTGGCTTTCGACGGGTTGCGGCAAAAGGTCAGCGAAGTTTGATTAAATTTTTTACTTTAAAATAAAAAAGCTTAATTGAATCCTGATTACGGGTTGAGACAGCCAACTTCCTACGCATCTACAGGGGCAACTATCGGAAAATGCGAAAATCCCTGCTCGTTTGGCGACGTTTTATTAACGTGCCATTGACTCTCAAGACTAAATGTGGCAAAAAATGTCAGCCATTCAGTCAGTCAGTCAGCCAGTCAGTCGAAAGTGGAGGAGCCATTCGATTGAGCGTGTAAAAGTGGCTCAGCCAAGGCGGCCATATCCACGGGTTGTGTTGGCTAGAAGGATGCCAAAACTTGTGGCAACAAAATCCATTGAAGCGCGAAATCGACTTAATGCATTAGTCTCCGGGAGTGGAGAATGTCAGAAAGACACGTAGAGCAAACATTTGCGGCTTACGAGTGCGCCAGTACATATGTATGTATATATATTCCGGAGGTGATAGTCCCGCGGTATCCCAGATAGGTGAAAATAAAGCTCTGGCGGTATAAAATTGAAAATTATGACAGGCTGTTGGCAACGCAATGTCATCGTGAATCTGTGCAGAAATTGCAAGCGCCGCAAGAAGTGGAAAGAAAGCAAGCAAAAAGCAACAAAGACGTGGCAACAAAATGGCTAACAAAAATCCTGTCCCGGCCAGAAAGTGGATACCAGACTCGCATATTCATATCGCTTCATTGCTATGCAAGTTGGTAAACTTGAGAGTCCGACAACAACAGCCAGAGCGGCAATAAGAACGTCAACAAGTCGCAATAAAACACAAGCAAACAAAACCCACAGCCAGACAGAGATGGCAAACAGCAGGGCATACAGAAAGATACAAAGCTACAGATACAAGATACATTTGTACGGTAAAAATAAAGTTATCGTCTCAGATGGAGCGACAGGGCAAACAGATTCAAATTCAAGGTTCTCAAGATGAGAGTTTCCTGATTAAGATAAAAAATCAAAATACACTTAAAACCAAGCAAATTGCGTCATAGAAGGGGCGAAACTTGTCTTATTTTAATACCATCATAAAATGATTTATCACAGGGGGCACGTG